CGTGGTGCATAATTCACGGTATTATAATTGGAGGGGCGTCCATGTTGCATATTTAACGTGTGATGTGTGTACTTTGTTGTTGGGTGTACATATTTGATGTTTTGTGTTTCTTTGGTAAATTATGGGTCAATGCTTGAATTCAGTTTGATGTTGTTATGAAAATTTAATTTGGAGGGTTTCCGTTGAAAGAGCGATTGTGCAAGTTTAAAAGTTAATCGTAGGTTTGAAGACACTAAGTAAACTGTGCCGATAGCACCACAAATCACAATATAGGGAAATAAAAAACTAGCATTCCCTCGAGCCTTTCCCCGAAATAGAACACGGAGTCAAGAGCATCTTGCTTGGGGGCACTCATATCGGCTATTTTCATTATCGGTAACTGCTGTATTCTGTCACGAACGAATTATTTATCGGGCTGTATACATATTTATATTGAGGGAGTTTCTAAGTTTTCAAGAAAGTTTTTTTTTAACAAAAGACATGCAGGCCATTAGTGTTTTGCATTGGTTTTATTTTGGTTCAGTCACCCTTACCTCGACGCATTTGTCATTTGTTTCACCCTCAGCCAACTTGATTGGTAAACATGAGCAATTTTCTTTTAAACATTTTTCATCTTGTCGTCTCCTAAATGCAGGATATAAAGAAAATTTTTATTCAGATTAGAAACACTACACCTAATTGTGCACGAAACACGCGCTTTATTGCCAAGCTTAACATCACATTTTTTCAACGAAATGTTAGGATTTTCGAACCTTTTTTTTGCAAAAATAAAAGCATGACAAATCATCAGTTTTATTTTCTCAAAAACTAAAAACTTCCTAGTTTGAAATTTTTAAAACATGTTTTTCTCTTTACATATTAGGTGTCGAAAACTTTATTGTATCAACAACAAACATAAAAATGCTCAAACAATCTACAATTTCATTATAAACAAACTTTCAGAGTTGTAATATTTCTATTTCTCGAAGACAAAGATAATACAATTGTTGGAATACCGGAGATTTTAAACTTGTCAAATTACTAATTAATAATTATTAATTAAAATTAATTTAATTTTTTAAAATACATGTTAAGTTAAGAAACTAGGAACATGGAAAAACTGTTATCTATAAACATTTTGAAATTTTATAACATCAATACCTAATAAGAACTTAATAATAAATAAATCATTAAGTTGCGAGGCGGAAAATCTGTAGTGACGCTAGATTAAGGAATTTAGTGAGTTTTTCTTACATTAATTTCATTTCAAACAATTTACCAACATTATTACTGAACAGCAATATTTGCAATGGTTAATCTTGCTTGACTGCAGGTTTAAACCGCGGGGTCAATGAAATCCAAAGGTTGGGGAAATTATTTGTAGAAAAATTATGACTTGAATAATTGTCTGCCAAATGGTTTCTTCTTCTTTTTTTCCTTTTTTTAAATAGTTTTTATTTTAATTTTATTTTTACAAGTCAGTTAATAACCGTGAATAACCAAAGAGAATTAAAACCACTACCATCCGCCGTTCAAAATAAATTTTCAAACAATTAGGCAACAATTTATGGGAAAACTAAATAATATTGTTGGCATTTGTTGGCAATAACGTGTGGTTTTTATTTAACCAAATAAATGTAAATAATGCAATTTACTTAATAGAATGAACATTTAAAATTTATTTTTTATGTCAAAATGGTGGATGCGCCGGGGTAACTGTCATATTATCACATTTTTCTCGATTTAGATAGATCTTTTGCTAAGTTATATCCGTTTTGTGTGTAAAAAATGGAAACTGTTTAAAAGTTTGAAGTTTGGAAAGAATAATTTTTTCTCTAACTGGTATCTGACAGTTTGTCGTAAAATACAGCGTTTTAAAAAAGGTGACAATCAATTAAAGGTCCTGAAGGCATCTTGGAAGATTGGAGCAATCCTTAATGAAGTAACGAATCCAGCTGTTGGCGGTTGTTCAAGTTAATGAGAAATGTAGAATTTAGAGGCAAGGAAGCATATTTGACTAGGGGTCAGTAGCGGGTGCCCCCAAGAGTAATGAGACAATTTGTCAGCGTCTCCTGTGACCTAAGCTCTGTTTCTGGTGTATAATGTCAGTCATAAGTGAGTAAAAATATTGCCGCCTGAGGTGAATTTTTTACGTCGAACTAATCCAATTCGTGAAACACCCCTCGTGTTTCCCGGTTAATCAAAGTGAGTGTGAAATGTCTGAGATCGGAGGTCGATGTATATTTAGATTTAGCGTAATTTATTGACCATTTCACCGAGGATTTAGATTAAGCTTTCATGGCAAACTTCACGTTGCACCTGAGCTTTCCCAAACTTCTTTAAATGCTTTCACAATCCTCTAACCTCGAATTGTAATTAGGGAAAAGCACGTGATGAATAGATGTGTGCAATAGTTATAGATTTACTTACACACTCTCTGAATACTTGAAAGTTCACACAACCCCAAAGTTCCTGATTTACGAGGAGAAGCATGCCTTAATTTTTACAAAAAGCAAATAAATAAAGTCGAAGGTTTGAACCTCCACTTCAAGAATTTTGTCAGTTCGCCTTTAAGCAATGCAAGTTTAATGAGAAGCGGCCGTCATAAGTGTTGAATGGCTTAATCTAGTCGCCTCAGAAATGTTTTATTAGAGAAATAATCAGAGGGTGTCGATGTTTGTGATTCGTGGTGTGTCAGAAGTGTAATAACGAAATGGATTAGAGCTGCTCATTGATCTGGCAAATTGCTGACAAATCATATTATTTCAGGCAGGTTTTTCATTTGGACTTTTTAGTCAAATAGTGCGATTTTGCTCCCAAAGATAGAAAAAAACATGTTCGGGGTCGATTGAAGAAGGTTTTGCCGCGATATACTTTAGGGTGGTTGACAACGAACAAAATTTAATACAGCTTCAATTAGAGCTAACATGCTGAAAGTGTACTTTGCCAGTTTGGATTAGATTAGTAAATGAATACCAGTGCGAAGGGGTGACTCTAACCACTTAATCCCTATCGTGGTATTGTGATAAAACCTACGCTTTTTAGACAAGTTTTCCATTTTTCATCGGCTTTTCCTGAATGCAAAACGACCAATAAATTCATTCAACATGAGGTGATTAAGGCTGATATGTGCTCACTTTTTTGTTTCTCATCACAAACGGGTTTAATTATAACAATGGCATTGTTAGCAAATTCATCGGTTTATTTATTTGCACACAACAAATGAGCCCGTTTGGAAATTACTATCCGACACTTTTTCATAATTATTTATTTTTTGATGAAAATTTTTAGCGACCTGAATGTCCGAAGTTTTAAAATTTTTAGTTCAAAAATATTTGCGGCTTCGAAAAAATTTAGTCTAAATTTGCAATTTTCGACTCGAACACAGTTTTCAACGTTTTTTATTTTTGTTGTTGCTTTTTTATTTTATTTTTTTTTAATTGAAATTAAACTTTTCAAACAATCATTATCTAGTTTATAAGTCGACAAACACACATAAGTTTCTGATCAAAGTGACCTGTGACTTTAAAATAATTTGACAATTCTGAATTATTGTTATTTCAAATTTATGAAAAATTATTTAAATTATTAAACTGCGTTAGGTGACAGCCATGCCGGCACTCTCAAAGAAGACTATTAATGCATTATCGTAAAAGTGGTTGTAAAAGTTGTAAGCATTGTGATTAGGCCATTTAAGATCGGCCATTATAATAATGTAAAAAACCAATCACTCTAGATTTTTGAATTCATTCAAAATTTAATGCTGCAATATGATTGGTCCATTTGAAATCGGCCATTATTATAATGTGGGTAACCATGGAGACTTCAGCCTTTAGTTCCATTCAATTATTTATACCGAAATTGGTAAAATTCGGAAATCAAACTCGGAAATGAATAATAAATTGATATTAAAGTTTGGCGTTTAATTAATTCAACTAAATGACAAATTTGGTAAGTTTAAGGGTGCTAAGAACTTGTAAAAATACATAAAACATAAATCCCATTTAAAAATGTTTTTAAATAGTAATAAGTAAAACCTTGAACGAGTCTATAGGCAAAACTATAATTTAATTTTTTTTATTTCATAGAAAGTGTAGAAAATATTTGTGTTTGCTGGATCGAGAATTTCACAAAAAATGTTTCTTTTAAATTATTGACAAATACATGAAACATCTGCTTTTGTAGTTTCTCAAATTAGTTGGCACTTAAAATCTTACAAAACCTAGATTTTTTATTAAATGGAGAAATAAGTTTTCTGTCATTTTAAGATATCGGTGAAGTGTTTACATCCGGAGCAAAAATTTCTAAAATTAAACTTTTTGTACCATCCTAAACCATAATAATTTTGATTTTGTTGAATGTTTTTGTTTGTCATTTGCGTCAGTTTAAATCTTTGGCCACGGCGTGCACATTGTAATATATTTTAGGAATGGAACCTTTACTGCGGCAAAAGCTTTTTGGCTTCAGATATTGCATGCAAAAATGGCGCAACGGTCAGAGAAGCGCTGCATAAGTGGCCGAGATCAGCAATGACACCAGCTCTAAAAGCTGTAAGCTCAAACAAGGAGCTTTTGTGCTCGCAATGATCTATAGCGTTCATTTTGGTCCCTTTGCAACCCGCTGTGTCTTATAGCCTGGTTTCACTCGAAATAGCTTTATCCCTGTATTACTCTATGTTTAAAATCAATTTTTAGGGAACATTTAATTAAGAGCTTCGAGGTGTCGTCGATAAAGCAATCAGGATCCAGACTTGATACATTTATTTCAAAGACACACGCACTCAACCCTAAATAAATAAGCGAAATCACTGTATCCCTACCTTTCCACCCTCTCAGCTAATGAACGTGTCACCACCAGAATGACTAGTGGTCTTCATTTCCTATAGTGCTGTCGGTTATAACTCGGCTCCATTGCACTTTCAATCATACGCAAGCTAATTCGGCGACATTTGACACGTGCCAGTGACTTAATAGGTTTTTGACCACACGACTTCGACTTAATCAAATTTTATTCTTTTCCAGATTTCCTTGTGTGATGATTATAGTCTACCAGTCGACAATTTAGGAAATAAGAGAAGACCCAATAGTATTGCAGTTCCTAGTCTCACCGAATGGAATATCGCTAGTCCAAATGAAGAAAAGGTAAGATAAAGAAATAAATATGTAAATATTAGCTAGTGGGAAAACGTGCGTTTTATTAGTTTCGATCAAGCAAACATTGTGTCGTAAAATCGGAGGACGTAAGAAAAAGGGGAAAAACTGAGGACATAGTGGACAATAATGGGACGACTATCATCAAATTTAAACGCTCTCTTTCTTATCTTTCGGTTTATGGACACTTGCAGTCATCACAGTTGGTCATAATGCATACGAAGGGAATGACTCAAGAACTCTATTATATTGATTTAGTCTACAAGAAATTGTAAACTTTGAAACAACAAAGTTCACAAGTTGGAAGCGGCAATAAATTCAAAATAAACTAACTGAGGGTCGCATAAATTAAAATGACCCATTATTTGAAATGAGCTAGTTAGCAGAAAGCACTTGCTAAATTCTTGTCATTTTCTCGGCTGTAGTTAAAAGTGGCAAGCATTACAAGAAAACATTGATTGTGTGCTGAATGCTCGATAAATGACTTATTAATATTTATGAACTTGCAAAATTTCGTAGTCTCCATTAACGCCACTCTGCAAATAAATCAGATACAAATCCCTGTCGTCGCTTTTTTAATAAATAAGCTATTGTTTTCGTACTTTTGAAAAACGTATTTCATCCCCAAACGCCCATAATTTAGAGTTTGTAAGAAAGTTTTTGAATATGATGGTTTTCAATGGATTTCAATGGAGTAGAAAAATTTATAGGGAGGGGGAATATAAACGCTCCTCCGTTACCATTAATTATGTTGGTTCAAATTCGCAGAAATATTTTCGTAATTAATTTGACATAGCGGCGCCCATTCGTTATTTCCAATTAATTAATTGTGAGCAGTAATAAAAAATGATATTCAGTTCTAAGCAAACAAGTTTGTGGTACTTGTAACTAAGGGGAGTTGAGATGTTTGAGTAGAGTGATTTTTGAATCGGTATGGTTCTGTTCCCTTCACTTGGAGTGTATTTATGGCCGGGACTTGACCGGCATGGAAAGTAATCGCATTTAATTCAGGGGAGTTAAATCAATGTAAATTGTTTTAGTAACGGAAGAATCGGAATTTCTTGAAAATTGTTCAAGTGCTTTTATTCAAGCCTAATTGGAATTCTTGTTTCTGTCAGCATTGGCGCACCAAATCTGTTTAAGAAGTGACAGATCATGAGCGATCACCCCTTTTGTTGTTTCAGTCGAGACAATTTCGACCCTCGATCAAGCTCAATATTTAATATAATTTCAACTGTGTTGCATTTTAATTACTGGAATAAATTTCCCTGAGGAGCTGTACGAGGAAGATTCGCCGCCGAATTTTGTCTTTTGTCTATTAAATGGAATCTTGTTTATTCATTTTTGCTGTCAAGGGTGCCGACACACTACCACAATGCGTCTAAACCCTTTGTCAAATTGCATCATTTCCATTGTTTCAGATTGAAATTTTGGAGACATACTCGACTCCGCGCGACTCAAGGCAACAGCTAATTCAAGAGGATATTGAAACCAAATGTTTTACCAGCCCTGATCGAGAGTACTCGCAACCCTACACGACAGGTAAAACGCGAATTATTTCACCCCTCGTATCGGACAACGAATTACAAAGTTATATTAGCAATTTTTCGAGAGCTCTTAATAGTTGGAAGCAAGGGAATTTCATTTAATTTCAATTTAGGCGACGGCAATTCCATTATTGTCGTCTCGGCCATAGTTTGAAAAATTTTCAATGGATGTAAACTTTATCAAAGAATTGCTTGATATACTTACGCGCAGACCAAACATCAAAGAAACTCAAAGGATTAGTTCTCTCGGTTTATTTTACCAATGGAGACTGTCAAGTGGGGTAAAAATTGCCAACGAGCACTTCCACATGACTTTTCACACGAAAATCGATAAAATAAAGACATTAAAAGTCAACTTGGGGCTTGAATATGATACACAAACTTCCAACGCGTGATTTATGCCACTCGTAAGGTAAAAATGGGGCGCACTACGTCTCAAGGGTGGAAATGAGCTCCAAAGTATTATGCGATAAAACTGCGCAATGGACAAGTTTTATCATTAAGTTACTGCAATAAATCATAAAAACAATAAATATAATAGTTGTAAGTGTATAATGTGTTGCCTACTAATAATGCGCATTATAAAAAATCCATCAAATCAGATTTCGTCGAACAGATATGAAAAGCAATATCGTGAAGAATGCTTAAGATCAAAGTCTGAACTGAAAGATGTTTGTTTTGAATGCTTTTGAGGGTTGGTACCGGTTTGTTTATTTGTCGACATGTGGGGGTGTGCGCCCTTTCCGATCGAATTAATTCGTGTGTGCAACACTTAGTTGTCGGTTAATTGCTCGATTATTTCGAAGATTTCATTTGCATAATGCGTCTCGTCCCTGCGTTTAATATTTTTGCACACTCTATTAAAATCGCTCTCGTCGTAATGGCTCTTCAATTATATTCGGGGAGTCTCCCAGTTAAAAGATTTTCAAAGAGGCGTCGACAAAGTAGTTTTCGCTAATTGAAATTTCTGATAACACCATTACGTTCAATCGATAAACAGACGCGCCATAATTACATGACAAAACTATAAATAACTCAAGGGTTCATTTTACACAACGAAATATTCCTTCTTGAATAATTGCTAACGTTGCCATTGAAGGGTTGCGAAACATAAAGGGTTGAAAATAGCAATTAAACGTTGTGGTCAAGGGTGAATCATACTTATCCTAAACGTGTTTCATCAGCATTTCGCCCGATACTAATCTCTTGCAGCCTCCATGCCAGTCTCATTGCCCCACACATCACTATATTTTACACCCAAGTGGACCTTGTTCGTCTTGTTTCACCTTCTTTTTCAATGGCAACTTATTACTAATCACTTTTTTATTTTATTATAGTTATTCTTAGTCATTTGATAAAACGAGAAATGATTGTAACAATCGATTCTAGGCCGCTTTCGGTCCCCTTTGTCCGTCTTTCAAACCTAATTACTTTTGAAAGTTTCGTCGGCTTTTAAATTTATATCAAGCAGGATTCTGTAATAATTGCGCTCTCAGCTTTTATGATAAGCTTCTGCTAAGTTGCCTTAATTTATTTTCCGTAGTTCCCCTACATCTTTTTCTTTATCCGAACATAATCTTGTTCGGAGGTTTGATTAATAGGAAATTTTTGAATACGATTAATAGGAAATGTCACCCAAAATCCTGTTAAAGATTAGGGCCAATTATTGGGTTTTCAATTGGTAATCTCAACTAAAATATGAATGGAATTTTTTCGACGATTCAACGGTGAGGAATAAATCGTAAGGGCAGCGACAAAAAGAATTTTAATAACTGGGGAACGCTGGGGAAATTATTTATGCTGCATTTTCACTTCAAAACTGTAGCGCCAATGTGAAAAGAGTTAAAAGCCAAATTGAATATTAAAAATGAAACTGGTCCATTCATCCCAGAATAAGGGGATGAACAAGGAGCGCAATGCCCTCACATTTATACGCAACTTTAAACCATCTTTTATTAAATCAAAAATAAAAATCGTGCAATTGTTCCAAGAGAAAAATATTTTTTGTGCCGAGGTAAGCGCCCCTGTTAAATGAATTTGTTCTCGTTTTAGTTCCCGTCGTGTTGCAATCTGCATAATGGCCGAAATTAACAGATCGGTGCTTGCAGAAATGAGTACACAAAAAGCCGGATGAAAAATGCTTTCGTTTTATCTGGGGGCTGATGGATGGCTCGTGTAAATGACGCCTTGAGCTTCCCTAAACCAGCGCACAGAGGCTGTCTTCGTCTGTGACGACATCGCCCGAATATCCTGGACATATAGGATAAGGGAGAACCAGGCAAATGTTTATTATGCTTGATTTATTTGGTTTTATGATCTCACTTATGTCCTAAAAGAACTTCCGGTTTTTCGACAATTGCCGGCCCCGGGGCACTTCATCCTAACGAACGCCCATATCGTTTTAAAACTCTCTACCCGATTTTTCTTATCACGATAACAGACTTAATTAATCCACGTCAGTTAATAATGTGCTATAAAAATGATTGATTTTTTGTTAACTTTGTTAATCAAGTCAAACGGAACTTTGGCGAAATGTTATTTTATAGTAAAAATAATCGCAAAACGATCAAAATGGAATTTAAATTACAGTAAGCTCAACTTCTATCACTCTCAATATTGCTTCTAATTACGCAAACTTTCGTAATAAAACTGTATAATAGTCGATTTGAATTTCCCATATAAATGGAGTATTTAATGTTTTATACATCTGGTTTCGTATTAATCGATGTAAATGTCTAACAGAGCGAAAGAGCAACACATTCAACCGTTAACGTCAAAGCTAAATTCGATGCTATTATGGTAACAAACCTACAATAAAGGTAACCGCTTGAAAAGTGAACGCTAAATTACCTAATGAGTTAATTCACACTGCACTAAAACAAAATTAAACTTTTAAAAAGACTTGTAATTAAATGTACAATATTTGTTACCCATTTACAAATAAAATTGGTGTGGATATTTAACACCTGCTTCAAGTACATTTAAAAATGGCAAATGACTCACAAGAACGTACTTCCTAATAGAACGAAAATGAGTAATATCTGGACCGTAGTAGCAAATCCACTTTTATGGGTAACGTTTTTTATATGGGTATAAAACGTTTATGAATTGTTCCGAAATGGTGTACTGAAAGTTGCATCCTTTTTTAGACCTGCATTCTGTGGCAGCTGTCAATCATCCGACCTTCTCTACGGCGTGCCTGGTCCCTTTACTCATAAAATGGAAATAATGTAAACGAACAAAATTTCACCATTATTTCAGAGATTCATATTCTAACTCAGTAGAAAGAAGTTCATTTTTCTCTTGATTTTGGACTTGGACGAAATTTTTGTACCAAAAGTAGAGAAATCGCTAAAACTCTCCAATCCGACATTTGTTATTCTGTAAAACAGTTGGTCAAATAACAAATGTAGTTGCATATTCTGATTTTTTAAATAGTTCTTTGTTTGAGTTGTTCATGCGGGCATTAAAAAGAGTTTCAAGTCTTTTGTACGATAATAATTCTGTTGAGTCATTTAATTCAGTAGTTAACAAACTTGTTGGAGGGAAAAGAATAAATTTTTCAAATCGCGGTTCTTATCATGAAAGATGTTTTGCGGCTGTTTTAAATTTCAATAACAAAAAGAAATTTGTATTTAAAATTATGGAAAAAATATCTGGTACTTATGGTATCTACACCATAAAATTTTCAAATCGCTTATTAAAAACTACAGAAATTCAAGCTGCGAAATTATATAAAAGAAAAATTCGTATTCAAAGTGCAGATTTAGATATGCCAATGAAAACATATGAAAAAATAAAAAGTGAGTTTTTGAATGATTGCGATATTTTAAAAATCCTTATTGAAACAATTGGTCTTCGTAATAATGAGCAGTGGAATAAAGAAAGAAATAACAGATTAACAGCTAGTAATTTTGGAAGAATTTTAAATATGAAATGTAAAACCAATACAGCAAATACTGTAAAAAATGTCTTATATAGTGTAGGTGTGTCTAAATTTAAAAACTTGTCTGAACCTCTACAATGGGGTATTGATAATGAAGAAAAAGCAAAGGAAAAGTTTGAGCAAATCACAGGTTTCAAGGTGAACTCATGCGGCTTTTTTGTTGATGAAGAAAATTTTTTTTAGGTGCAACACCAGATGGATTAGTCGGTTCAAATGCTATTGTCCATTTAGCGCAAGAAACACAGATATTAAAACTGCCATAGAACTAAAACTTATTAAATACTTAGAGTTAGATGCTCAAGATAATAGTAAAATAGTTTTAAATGAAAAAGATATGTATCAAGTACAAGGTCAGCTCCACATTACTAATCGCCAAATATTTTATTTTATAGGGTACACCTCCTGCGATTTATAATATTGTATTATTGAAAGAGACGATTCAAGATATTGGTACCGAAAAATGATAGATTGTCTAGAAAATTTTTATATGAATCCCATGTTACCTGAAATAATTGATTCAAGACATAGTCGGTACATAATTGTACTCGTAACAACTTGTAACGGTAGTGTTTTTTATTCCATTTATTACTGTGATAAGTGCTAAATAAATAAATAAATAATTCAGCCCTACAGGGTTCCTGCTTTCCGGTCACTAGATTAGAGAGTACAGTCGCGGCCTTTGAAAACTAAGACATTCCCTTTTGGTATACTATTTGCTATTTTAAAAATTGGTAGAGTGTAAATTCGGTTTTCATCTAGGATAACAATGTCAATTTCAATTTTCTGCAATAAAATACTAGTTATTTCTGTCAACAAACTCGAAGTTCATTGTTTTGAAGTAAAGTTTTCTATTCTACGACACCGACTCGTAATTATTTGAATGACATTTTAGAATCTTCAGTTTCAGGCCATTTTACAATGCAAAATTTAAGATTTGTCAAATTGTCTTAGTTTTCAACGGCTGCGACTGTACAAGTCACAAATCGACAGTAATAAATTATAATAAGTAATTTTAAAAAAATTAGTACTTTATTTAGTATTTTTTGTTTCTCAAAATGTTTTCCTATTTTGTATCCCAAAACTTGCCTTCGTTACTTTTCTTTTTTGCTTTCACTCCTATTTCACAAACTGATCCAAATCAAATCAGTCACGACCTTTTGCAATACCCCAATATATTTTTACCAATAATTTCTTTTCTTTCGTTCCTTAATTTTTTATTTTTTTTTAACATTTTGTAATACACATAACACTGTAACGATAAACATAATATGTGTCTCACCACAAATACCTAGAATCGTTTTAACACAAAATTAATTTGGCTAATTAGAGCTGTCCGTAATGACCAACCTATATAATAACTCCTAACCTCAGTGAAATTAATATAAATATTATGTTTTAATTTTTTTATTTTTTAGGTCTTACGTAGCGTAGGCTTAGTGCTTTTATATTAAACCCATCTATTTTTTAAATTTATTTTTAGATAGATGAATAATTAAAAAATTGAAGTTTTGAAATGAACTAACAATTCTCTTTTTGAGTGGTGTAGATGCATATCTTTGCTTTGAACAAACGCTATAAAACGCTCATGTTGTGGGTTACACCGTGCGGTGGGGCCCGGCTCGGTTGTAAATCATACACCAGGTATGAAAAAGTTCCGAAGTTGTTGAAATGTGTATTAAAAGTTGCCTACTTTCAATTTAATTTTTGCTTTATATCAAGAACAGTTCTCAAATTCGCATTATAACAGGGATTTGTATTTTTAAATTACTTATAAAATGTTTTTTTTTAATTCAATACGGTATAGCGTTATCAAAAAGTCTAAATTTGCGGCTAAAAACGATGAAATAAATGTACACGTAATAGGTATAAGCCAGCTTTCAAGGGGTCGTACTTGGGTGGCTTTCAAATAGCCACTCTTAAAATTGCAATCAATTTTTATTATTAACGTTGTTTACAGCTTTCTAAAAAAACGTTAACACATATATGTAAATTATTAAAAAAAAGTGTACGTCCACGTATTGCGATAAAATATTTTCGCTTAGATATATGCAAGAGGATAATTAGTGTACAGATTATTATGTTTACGTACCTATAAAATAAAAGTGTGGGCTTTTCGATCATTTTAGTTGAGTAATTGTTGCTTTTGTATATTAATGGTCTCCAAATTTTTTGCGCCTATTTTTACAATCATACGTATAAAGGTAAAAGTAAAAAAGGTTTGTCATTTTTAAGAGCATCTAATGAACGTTCTTTATTTTTTATAAATTATAAAATATGTTAATTCGTACTGGTAACTGAACATGGGGTTACCTTGAAACAGGAGTATGTGTATATTAAGTCGTCTGTCTTCACTCGACATTTTAATATAATTTTAATTTTTTCGTTATATTGACATCAAAATAAAAGTTTTACGGCAATTTGATTGATTTAATAATTGTTTTTGAATCTTAGAAAGTTTGCAATGGAAAAAAATATGTATGATATAGGAAGGAAATTTTTTTTCGATTTATTGCCGGTTATCAGGCTGGGTTTACGCCTGGTAATATCCAGCAAACGTTCAAAACAATTCATTGTTTTGATTTTTTTTATATGTTTTTGTGTTCCATGGTAAATAGTCCAAGTTAAGAGTCACTATGAGACATACAATGAAAAAAAAGTTGAGTCCATTTTTTACTAAATTCAAATTTATCACACTCATTTTTATATTTCCGCACTCATCTTGTGTTACTAAGCCTATTTGTACTAAAAATTTAAGAAATCAAGGATAAAAATAAAATTTTTAAGTCTTATGGTGCCCCACTTGTTTAAGATTAAAATTTGACTAAAATTTTATCTTATTATATACAGGGTGTGTCAGAACTCGCACCCCAGAGAAAAATTTCAAGTAAGATAAGATACCAGAAACATGAAAAAAATATTTAAAACATTCTATCTGTAAAAAAATTTTGACATTTATTTTTTGACATTTGACATTTTTTGTTTATTTAATGATACTGATGATCTTGTATATGTTTTTTTTATAATTATTTAGTAAAGGTCCAAAAATTTTGCCAATAAACGCCACAAATAACATTAAACAGAGTTACAATTTAGAATACAGCTTCCTTGTTTCCTCCTCTAATAGCCTGTAGTAAAAAAAACTTGGAAAATTATTTTTCTAACAAAAATAAATAAAGTCAAAGTACAAAATTTAAACTCTTATAACTTCCAAATTTTTATAGATATTTTTTTAACATTTTTTTTTTGGTATCTTACCTTATATCGCATTTTTCTCTTGGACGCGAGTTCTGGCGCACCCTGTATAAGAAACTCAAACAAAATAATTTAAGAATTTAAAATTCTTATTTTTTGAAAAAAAAAAACTATTTAAGTATTGTTGATAACTAAACTAATTGTGTAAATAATTATATATTGGTGATTGGTAATCAGAGGATTTTGTTTGATGCCAAATATTTATTTTGGTGACAACTATGGGGGTCTAGGATCTTTGATTGGAATTTTCTGTCAAAAAACCTACATACCTAAAATGTGAATGATGTACGACTTTAATATATTGTAAGAAAACATTTTGAAGAAACGCTCATCCGGCCCTTTTTTGTCTGTGACAATAGGAGAGCAGATGTGACATCGGTATTGTTTGCAGGATTAAAATGTAACGTTTTTTCATTTTCGCTCGTAAAAGTGACATTGGAAGTGAAATTTTAATATCGAAAAAATCTATTAGGAGCTCTACGAGCAAATAATTATGTAAAATATTGACCATGGTTTGAGCGCAAACGCACAATTATTATTCTGAGGGAGTTGTGAAAACTTCAATTAATGGAGTAGTAAGTAACGTTCTAGGATTTCTCCTAAAAAATCGATATGTAATATACTCACATATAAATCCACATAATGCTTCAACAATAGCGTCAATTTTTCATATTCCATTCATCAATAGAAATGCGAAAGCAATTTTCTTTCCCCGGTCCTTTCTTCTGATAATCTTGTATCACTTTGTAGATATTCGATTTGGTAAAAAATACAAATGCATTGCGTGTTTTCACGCTTCGCCGGCTTGATTTTTAAGTGATACTAAGCGAGATGACACTCAGGTTGAGAAGCGACTGAAAGCCGATTCAGGCAATTTGTTTTTGTTTCAGAGGGTTCTTCAGAAGCAACTTCCGATGACGAGTTTTTCGGTCACCAGCACATCTCTCTGACGAAGCCTCAGGAATTGAATTCGCCGGATAGCATAGCCGAGGCGATCCTTCCTCAACTCAGTACACACTCGCCCAATCGCTGCGACATAAAAAGACACCCTTCGCCTTATTACTACGCTGATTTATACAAAAACAAAGCCGACGAATCAAAAACCTGTCCGGCAAAACTGCGCAAAGATCCGATCGTTCAGCCGAAACCGTCTCAGGATGTTTTAGAATCAAACCACTTGAGCAACCAAAAAATCAAATCATCGCATAGAAAATACCGGAAAAGCTTTAGTCTAGATAACCCAAATTTGGATAAACCAATCCGAGCCAGGTCGCACAGTCGTTTGAAGTATAAAAAAAGTTCGAGTGTTGACACACAAAGCACTGATTCAAGGGATGCGCCTAATGAGGCGGTTATGCCTCCGAATAGACTGACTTCACCCTGTGCTTGTCTCACCCCCGACGATGGCTTAGACGACGAAATGACACGCCAAAGGCATGTATACGAAACCGCTTTTGACTGTCGCATTAGCAAGTCTGATGACGATTTAGATCAGATTGACAAAGTATCAAACCATCCTGTCCTCGTACAATTGAGTAACTCGAGGGAAAATCGACCTGGGCCGTCCGTTGATAGCAATACACCACAAAACAGGCGAAAAGTCACACTACTTTGCCCCAAACCGAGCCAAGAGGACAATAACTCTGTCGGCGCGCTCTCCCAGAAGCTGCAGGTAAGCGCAAAAACCATTTTTCTATGGTCGGATCTACCGTCTCAAAATTACTTTTGGAAATAAAGAAGTGTTTGAGGCATCTCAGAATTTAAATAAAATAAATCAACCTTATTAACATGTAACGGATTTATTATAAAAACAGCCTATTTATTTTAATAAAATTGGTCAAAAATTTTATTGAAAAATAATTATTGGAGTAAATTTTCTACAGTATGTCCCCGGATTAAGTTTACAAGAGGAAAAAACATATCTTTGATTTTACGCCAAAACTGCAAGGGAAAAACATTTTTTGCTTTACCTGAAACGAGCAAATCTGTAATTAAAACTTCATTATTCTAAGTAGAAAAAAAAGTTAATTTTTTTATTGATTTTGAACTTTTTTTTTGATAATTTTTCTCTGCTTTTTAAATTCCATCATATTGGCGATTTTATTTTTTTGACAATAATGTACCTACACTTTGATAAATGAGTTTACGCAAGTTAAATAACAAAAATGTTTGTGAATAACATAATTTTAATAAATGGCAACTCAAAGAAACAGCTTTAAGATAAGAAACAAAGTGATTTCTAACAAGAATTACCATTATTCAATTGTCAAAGTGACATAGTTGTCAAATAAATAAAACCGCCAATGTGATAGGCGACTTAAAAGTTAGGAAGCAGAGAAAAATTATCCAAATTATCCAAGTCCAAAATCAAGGGAAAAATTAACTTTTTTTTCACGGAATCAGAAGAATGAAGTTTTAATTACAAGTTTGCTCGTTTCAGGAGAAGCAAGAAATGTTTTTTCTTTGCAGAATTGCAGTTTTAGCGTAAAGTCAAAGATAAAAGAATTTTTCCTTTTGCAAACTCAATACAGGAACATACTGCATATTGCTATGTTGTCTTTTATTTGTTTCTTTGTCACTAAAAGAGTAAACAAGGTAAACAATTAAAAAATATAAAAATATAAAAAAAATCTTGCAAACCTATAACACTAATTTATTAAATCATAATGTATGCAGTGAGATAAGGTGGATTTTTTTCTTGCTTTTTTTTCTATCTTTTGAAAATTACTGATAAAAAAGCTCTGAATTAGGTCAAAATATCTGGCGTTTACGTATTTTGTATAATTGTTGAAGTAGTCAATTATTGCAATACTTGCAATGAGCAAATTAAGTTTGTTTTTTTTTTCGACTTATAGATTTTTATAAAGTGTCTGGACTGTTTGTAGAAAAGGAAAGGACCCTTAAAACAACTCTTCAGAAAAGAAATATGCAATAAGAATTAAGATTAACAAAATTAATGAAAAAAAAAAAACTAAAATAACAGGTGCCAAAAAATGTTTTTTAATTTTTATACACTATATGGTTTCTAGTTTATGGTTATACAATTATTATGTACTATCAAATTCATGAAAAGCTACTACAACAAAATTTTGTTGGAGTAAATTGGGCTACATGAAATAGTATATTACATAACGAGCACGGAAAGTGATAAATAACGCAACGATTTATTTTTTATAATAGATACAAAAATACGTTGAATAACGATTTATTTTTTATAATGAATACAAAAAAAATACGTTAAATGAAACCTTACAAAACATTAGAGTGTGAATTGTGCGTTAGATTTCTAACACACAGTGCGAAAACAAATCGCACAGGTTTTTGACCTCGTACGATAGTGCCAATTTTCGCGCATATGTGATTGTGCGTTATGATCTAGTTTCGTATATGGTCGTAGGAAAATGTCATATAAATCTGTCATTGTGCCAATTTGAAGTTTTTAAAACACTAAATTCTCAAGTATGTTTTGAAAAAGACGCTAAATTGCAAATAATAGGTCGACCAACCACAAAAGGCGTATTTAGGTGATCTACTTGATATCTTGGAATTAGTAACCAATTAACATAAAGTAGTAGGAACGTTACACCATAAAATTTTTGAAAAGTTAACATAACTACGACGTTTTGCTGTCCTAGTTTTTCATGTATTTGATAGTGCACACTTTTTGTTTGTTTAATGTTCTAAAAAAAAAATATTATAATTGTAATTATTATTTATGTTTGATTTTGAATTGTCGGAATTGGCTACCTTAAAAAAAGTTACATGTCAAGCAATAGAATTTATTATAGACGGTACTTCTTGTTAGTAACTAGCAATTATTGAAAAAAATTGTAAAAAGTCCTTTTTGACCTAATTGTTTTTTTTTATTTACATGTTTTCAGTCTTCTTATTTCTTTCAAAATTTCATTACTGAATATTAAATGATGATTATAGTAAAACGAATTAAAAAATTTCACTGATTTGAATTCAGTTTTAATTTATTTTGCATTTACTTATTAATTACTAATTAAAATTTGATTGCAAATAAGTCAAATAACAATTTCTAAACCGACCCGTAACATTTGAATTCAATTAGAAGACTAATTAACTAAATGCTGACGTAAAATCGCCGTTATATTTAATTTTTGGCACATTATTCACAAACTAAAATAATTTGCAATAATGTTATAAGGCATTTTGCCTCTCCTGACATTGGAACATGTTTCAGGAAATGCGCTTGCCAGAAGAAGCGTCTGTCGTTTCTGGGGCTTTGTCCTTGCCCTTGCGAGGTTACACACCATCCCCTCCGTCCACTGCCCCTCTTCCGACAAAGTTTCCCGGTAAAGAACTGGTAATGAACAGTATTCGTAGTGCCCCGAATTTGCCATCGCATCCGAAAAGTCGATTAAAAGACTTGCATCTTCCGGTGAAGTCTCTGAGAGGTCGTTCGTCTAATAGTAGTAGTGGCAGTTTACAAATCCAGAGAAGTGCTTTCGATATCGAGTTTGGTAACAGTAAGCTCATCTCAGAATTTAAAGGACGGCCTAGTCAATCGAAAGATGGTGACCAGGAGAGGATTTTTAAAATAAAAGACTGGCCGCGACAAGAGTTGTTGCTACTCAAGCGTCATAAAGGGACTAAAGAGACTATTTTGGAGTTCAAGGGTAGACGCAGGAGACACAAGTATTCAAGTACGGAAAGCATGACGGCTAGTAGTAGTGGCGGTAGCATGGAAAGTATTAAAAGTAGTACTAGTGAGGGTAATAGGAGTACGACAAGTTCGGACAGCCGGCAATCGTCGTCTCTCAGTTCCCACAGTTCGGATAGTGGAGGAACAAAAGCTTATTGTGGGACCCAAAATTCAAGTTTTCTAGCTCACGCAAACAAACTCCATATTCTGAGCCCAATTTCGGACAAATCATCTCAGGAACCAATCTCAGAAACTTCCGACAACAATCGAAACAACAACTCGCAGAAATGCTCGCCGGAAGAAGTCGCAACTCCCGAAACTATGAAAGTGAAACGCCGCCTACCTCAAAACAAAAATTTATTAAATTTGGGGTTCCACACGGGTGATCTCGAGATCCAAGGTTCCGATAGTGGAATTTCAATCCAATCCCGCGAAGGTATCAAATCGCGCTTCGGGTTTACCGCTGTTGAATTACCGAGTCAACAAGATTTTTCCGATTTGCCATTCGATATGCCCAAATTGCGACGCCGACGGATGATTACACAAGACGCGTGCACGTCAGGCAGTGCCACTTCGGTTGATTTGAGAGATTTGCCTTTCGATATGCCCAAACTGAGACGGAGGCTTAGAATACAGCAGCCCAGTACTGAGTCAAGTGTCTCGCAAGCCTCGTCCAGTCAAAGTGTCATCGAAGCTGACAGGCAAGGTTCGTTAGTTTTTCTTTCATTTCACTTGCTGCGACCGGAAGTGATCGATCACGGGATTTACTTGCCTCTACAAATCATATCAAATTCGCATTCAACGCGGCTAATCGCCCCACATGTCAATACTTTCAAGATTGAGCACGAGGCGGAAATCGATTCAATTGCATCTAATAGTAAGAAAAAACGACTAAAAAGTTTATTTTCAAATCATCTTTGAAAGAAAAAAAAACAGAATTTATTTTCTTTACTTGTTCGTAAATCTTAAAACTTGACTTTATTAAAGTCTGCAGTGCTTCCTAAATTTATTGAAATATATTCAGACCTAATTCCTGTGGTTAATGTTACTACTATTCCAACCGTGCTATTAATTATCTAACAAAAGGCTAACATGTTCCGCTGACTTGAGACTTGTGATAAGATTCACAGATTCACAAAATTTACATTTGATACCTACTTAATTAAACAAAACCCAAGTCGTAAATTAGTTAAAGTATTTTTTTGTTAAGTTTAAGAAGCATTTTGTTGATAAAATAAATTTTCGGAGATGAAAAAAACAGCAACTTTATCAACTTGGAACTGTTTCGTTAAATTTGTTTCTTAAAATCTTAATTTGAGTAAATTGGGTTTTTAGTGTCTTCTTTCCGACCGAAGCTGACCCTGAATTTGGGGGAGTTAGATATGCGTCAGCGTCCAGGCCTAGGATTATCTCTTGTTGGACTTGGAATGAACTTGAATAATCCCGAAAACCCATCAACAGCGGACGTCATTGATGTCAATTTGCCACTGGAGAAGCAAGGGTAACATAAAATATGTTTCTTATTGTTTGTGTCTATTTTTATTTGAATATAGATGGTTCCACGGAGCTATCACTCGCGTCGAGGCGGAGAACGTACTCAGGATGTTACGAGAAGGGAGTTTTTTAGTCAGGAATAGCGAATCGACGAAACAGGACTATTCGCTCTCGTTGAAGTAATTTTGAATCGTTTTGTTTTGAAATTTTTGACTGGTTGTTTCAGGAGCGCTCGTGGTTTTATGCATATGAGGATACAGAAGGACGGCACCGATGAGTGCTACATTTTAGGACAGTTCAGTAAGCCGTTTCATTCGATTCCGGAAATGATCCACCATTTTTGCATAAACCGGCTGCCTATACGAGGGGCGGAACACATGTGTTTGTTACAGCCGGTCATTGCGCAACTCTTGTGATAAGATAAGGTTTGCTTTTCTCTTATAAAAGTACGACTTGTACTTTATAAGACGCACATTTATTAAAGAAACGATCTATTTTTTCTGTAAAACGGTTTAAACAAAATGGCTTCCACATGAGTAGAGAAAATGAGATTTTTATCTACAGTGTTATTTGTTATTGATCACTTTTTAGTTTGCCGTATGAGATATGGCATCACTTTGTTAAGTAGTAATTAGGGTTCGGATAATTTTAGAAAGGTTATCCGGGCTCTAGTAGTACCTAATATGACGACGTGCAATATTTTGTTAGCCTACATTGTTTTCAAAATCGTTTAGTTTTGCGTTGTTTAGTTTAGGGGTTTTAGTACGGCTACAGAAACTATATTGCCAAAGAAAATGACTGTGAATAAAATATACATACCTATATATTATATACATTTCAGTGTTAAGAGAAATTAGTTATAGGTGTAGGGTTTAGATCAATGTTTTAGCATTAGCATTCTAAGAAAAAACAAAGCAAATATAAAAGTACTTTAATATTATATTACATTTCAATCACATTAACGCTCATTACAACATAATATCTATTTTAGTAAGTATATTTATTTCCGATTTCTATTATTAATTAATCTTTCAAAAATTGACTCTTAAATAATCTTTAAACTGTTCTAGATGCTATATTATTTACCAATGTAATATAGTTTAGAGACTTTGTGATGAATGTGTTAATAAGGGACTGAATAAAAGTACGTAAGAACCATTTGCGTTTTATTACACGAAAAAAGGTTTCACATTTGTTTTTAAATCAGAATTCGCGCTCCTTGACACTACGCCATTAAGGTTGGTAATTGTCACAAAAGTGTATTCTTGGTTGACTAAACTACATTTTAAAAATTAAATAAAATAAAAATGTTTTTGTATTTTCAATAAATATTTTTTACTTGTAATTTTTTTAACACATTTGTAATATCTGCAGTTTAGTCAACCAAAAATACACAGTGTCCCAACCTTGTGCAAATAAAATTTGTTTGGAATTTAAGTGGAAAACACCCAGTGGGGGAATCGTGACATTTGTGTACATAATAGTGGCAGGTGGCAGCATTGTGCGAGTAAATTTTTAGTTGGTGATTTGGTTATCTGTTGTGTGGCAAACTCTTTGTCAGGTGTGTAGTTTGGAAAAATTCGCGTAAATATTAAAAAATGTACTGTTTTGTTACCAAGTTACCCCATTTAAATTATTTGCCAGGCCCACCATCTACGCAGATCCTTCAGTAAAAAATAAAAATAACTAGTCATCATTTATAGGCAAACATGGCCGACGATGATGCGGTTGAGTCGAAGAAAACTGAGGAAAAACCCACCGAAAACGAAGCAACGGAGCCAAAAAAGAAAATAACAGTCACAGTGAAAACTCCCAAAGAAAAGGAAAACTTCGAGGTGGAAGAGGATCTTGCTGTGAAGGCTGTAAGTCAATTTGACAATCACATAACCTAATTCTTGACTATTATTTCCGTATTGTAGTTTAAGGAGGTCATAGCTCCAGTGTTTAATGCGGATGTTGACCAATTATGCCTAATCTTTGCCGGGAAAATCATGAAAGACAATGACACCTTGCAACAACACAATATTAAAGACGGCCTCACTATACATTTGGTCATCAGGGCTGTGCCCAGAGCCACCGAATCGGGGCCCTCGCGACCGCCAGGTAAGCTCCGAACTGACCCCAAACATATAGGGTGTGTCTCGGAAATTTACACCCTAGTCTTACGTCATTTTTGAAAACAATAACATTCTAGAAAGTGCACCAGTTTTGTGTTACATTTTAAGTCTATGATTCAGCGGAATTGAACTTGTTATCAGCCGGGACTGATTAACATTGCTTCTTGATTTCATTGATGTTTTTATAGACATTGTTTTGTAATTAGTGGAATAAATTGTTTTAGCGGATGTGAGCGCGACTCCGTTTAATTTGGGTCCTTTGGGTGGTTTAGCCGGTTTGGATTCGTTGGGTGTAGGTTCTGGTAATTTCATGGAAATTCAAAGCAGGATGCAAACGGAACTCTTAAATAATCCTGATATGCTTAGACAACTTCTAGACAATCCGTTTGTCCAACGAATAATGAACGATCCCGAAAACATGCGGGCCCTAATTACCCGAAATCCTCAAATGCAAGAACTGATGGAGCGCAATCCCGAGATAAATCACATGCTTAACAATCCCGAATTGTTACGTCAGACAATGGAACTAGCGCGGAACCCATCAATGTTGCAAGAATTGATGAGGAGTCACGACAGGGCTATAAGCAACTTGGAGAGCATCCCCGGGGGTTATAACGCATTGCAGCGGATGTACAGAGACATCCAAGAACCGATGTTTTCGGCAACTAGCGAACAGTTCAGTCGTAATCCTTTTGCCGGTCTTGTTGATAACAATCAAAGTGGGAATAATCCCCAACAAGGAACCGAAAATAGGGAACCACTACCCAATCCCTGGGGTGGTCAAAGACCTAACACGAATACTAGCTCAACCAATAGGCCCCAAAGACCGGTCATGAACAGCCCCTCGATGGCGAGTCTTCTTCAACAAATGTCCGAAAATTCCGACTTGATGCAAAACATGCTATCAGCACCTTACACGCAAAATGTACTCGAGGCCTTAGCTAGTGACCCAAATATGGCGACGACGCTCTTATCTGACAACCCCCTTCTTGCTGGAAATCCACAACTGCAGGAACAAGTCAGGACGATGATTCCGTCTTTTATGCAACAATTGCAAAATCCTGATATACAGAACGTAATGTCCAATCCACAGGTATTTGTTTGTTTTTCAATAGTAGAGAAGATGTTTTAATTTTTGGTTTTTAGGCTCTCAATGCGATTATGCAAATTCACCAAGGTATGGAAACTCTTCGCCAGACTGCTCCTAATCTCGTCAATACTTTCGGCATTAATACTACGACTACGGCAACAACGCCATCTACAACAACAACTACTACTACAACTACGACTAGTACTACTCAGGCAAACACTACAACGACTCAGTCTAGCACGAATTCAGATCCGTTTTCAGAGGTAAGTGTCAAAATCTGATGATTGTGGATAATTTTTTCGTCTAGTTTATGGCTCGAATGGTTGCCGGAATGGCTTCACAGCGTGATACGACTTTACCTCCCGAGCAGCGGTACCAAACACAATTGGAGCAGTTGGCCTCAATGGGTTTTGTAAATAGAGAAGCGAATCTGCAAGCTTTAATTGCAACTTTTGGTGATGTTAATGCAGCAGTGGAAAGGCTACTAGCGCTCGGGCAGTTATCCATGAGCTAACCTATCTATTCATATATTCCAAATGTATTATTATTACTTTTTAAATTTTGGGCTTTTTAAATCATTTTGTTTAGGATAGAGTATTTTATCTATGTATTAGATGATTCAATTTTTTCTAAGATGTATACTGGGTTTTATTTGGTGCCACTTGTTATAATTGTTTTTGCCATTATTGTAAACAGCTCGCTTCAAATTATAAATAAATGATTGTAGTTTGAAGGGACTGTAGGAACACAGAAATTATTCAAATGATGATTTGACTTTCAAAAATGTATATCTATAATTAATTAGAGACTATTTTAGCAACACGTAAAGTATTTTATTATTGACTAATAATTAACCTTTCATATAAATATTGCAATCATGGCAAACACTAGTCAGTGATGGATAAAGTTTGTCAGAAAAAAACGACTGATCTGTGGCTTGTGTAAAACAATCAAATGATATTATCAGTTGAGTGTATTATATGTTATATGGGTATATCTAATTTTGAGAAATCTTATATTTTTAATATATTGTTTTTTGTTGAGGAAATTCGTTGTTAATATTTTTTCCATATTGAGACTTGATTTGCGAGGAGTGATTACCAACTGTGCAAATTTTAAATTTTATACTAATACAATGGCAATAACACTAGAGTTATGTGTTAAGTGGCTCAAACAATATTTCACTGTAATTTATTATAGCTCTCAGTGTTTTTTCGAGATGAACACTGGATTTACTATGGATGTTCATGGAGATTAACGACCACAGATCGCTTTTCCTTGAAATTAAACGAAATTTTCATAGTTAATAGACATTCAATTGTTTAGTTGTATACATATACGACTTGTGCATTGTACATTCCATTATGTAAGACAATTCGCAAAATAAAACAGTTTCTCCATGATCACATATGTGTTTCATTTGCACTTGCAGAAACTAAAATATAAACACTCAAAAAAAGGGAAAAATCTTGTATTGTTGGTTGCATAAATAATACAACTAACAAAACGTTTGTGTAATTAATTGTTAGCGGAATTTAGGATTTTTTGGCACTTGTGTTTACAGCTTTGTGGGTCTTTTAATTGCAAACAAATTCATTCTTTTTGAAATAACACTGGAAGGTGTTGAAACTTTCCCCGTTTGTCGATTGGTTGGCTCAAAGGTTGACCACTCCTCTTGAACTGCAGGATGGTTCTGAAATTAACCATTCGACGCGCTAGGATCGGTTAGTTGAAACCGTTGCTGTTGAGAAGTGGTTTAGTGGTTACGAATGCCGTGCGTACGCACCTATCCTAAAACTCTCCTCAGAACCTGTAAAAAAATCGAATAAGTGTTCGAGTGGAAGGAGAGTGGCATTGTTGACAAATTTAAATGATTGTGTTGTGTTTCGTCGGTGTAGTGAGGAGATTTCAGGTCGAATAATGCCTTTACGGCCACGTATTAACCTTACTACCTGCTACACAGTGCCTGTTAAAACCTGAAGTGTAAGATTTTTTACCTGATTTTCACAAGTGGTATTTAGATTTGTTTGGAATTTATTTTCGTTGCGGAGCTTTTTTCATGTCGGACCTGAAGCAGGTGCTTTCACGGGAAAAGTTCGTTAAAGCCGTTATGATCAGTGATGCAATTAATCGGTGCCGGTAATTTCACTGCCCGACTGGGACACAAACACCAAAAATTTCAACAAAATACAATCACCAACTATTTTAATTATTTGTGTAAACAATTCGAAAAAATTGAACTTAACTGTTAGCTCACCTTGAAATTTTAATTATTTACTTTATCTAAATTATTGCGGAGATTATCCTGTAATAAAATGATACCGTTTCTTGTGCTGAGAGAAGATTTTCTTCAACCATTTTATTGCAATTTAATTAGCTTTTGATATTTGAGTAGTAAGGTGTGATTACATTTCTCACAAAATGTTTTAATTAAACTAATTGACCCTCTGAGAAAAATTAAATTACATTCATTCCTAACATTTCAGTCTATAAATAAATATTCGAAATTAAATGTGTTGTATTTCTACCATAAAAAAATCATTAAATCCATGAAACACCAACTTAATTTTAGGGCGTAAATCATAGCTGACATTCATTTATTATTATCTAATCGTAATGAATATTTTTTGTCTTCTAGCTATGTTAATTACTTAAAAATCCATTTACTTTTGGCACATCAAGGTCAAATTCTAGATAAGAATTTGTTATTATTTATAACAAAATTAAAAGTTTTCTAGCAGCTTTCTTGACTTTTGTAATAGTACAGTCGAACCTCTACAATCCGAACTATTTATTGCAATGAGTTTTGAGAATCATCGACTTAACTTTTTTAAATAAAACGCGTGGACAATTGAAATATGTGAAAATAGAACGATATTTATAGGATAAGTCGAACTCATTCATCAGTTTTTCAGAGTTGTTCAGGAAAGATGATTTAGATCAAATAAAAAGCTGAAAATATTTTTGAAATAGTTAAACGTTTCCTATTTTTTTTTTTTTTTAATATTTTTCAACATTAATTTTTTAGTTGAATGCTCAGTGTGAATTAGGTAGATGACTAGCATCCTAGATTTTACTTAAAAAACCAAACTGCCAGAAATTTTGGAAAAGTCGAAAGTTATTTAATAAACGACCTTGTCATCTTTGTTGAATCCGTTGTACTTAATTTTAATTATTTTTTATAAGTCGAGGGCAAAATATAATAAACAAAAAACTAGGAAAACTGTTTTAAAATATTATGAAAAAAATTATAGTGGATGTCGGGAAAAAAGCGTTGAAAATTCGGGGGTAGTTGTTTAGATCAAAATAAAAAAAGTTCCTGTGGGGACCTATGTCGGGAAATGCTTTCTGAGGGAGATAGAGCCCCCTAAGGATGGCGGGCAAAAGACCTTTTTTCAATTATCTCAGTAACCGATGGACATAAATTTACAAAAGCCTGCTTTTTTGACGCTGAATCTATTGGTGGTATCAAAAATTGTGTACCTTAATTAGAAGGGCACTGCAGTCAATCTACTTGCTTTGGAAGAAGTTTTTTGATTTTTTTTATTTGCTAATGTTCTTCAAAAAATGTTTCTTGTGTTATTTTTGTACGAGGCACCGTTTTTTTAGGAAAAATCCAAATTCCGAAAAGCATTTCCGAACATAGATTTATAGAAACTTTTTTCCTATTTTGACGTAGAGAACCACAAAATCTTTAAACATATTTTTCAGACACCTGTATATAGGCTATCACTAAAGAGCCACCATATATTTGAAAACTATCTTTTTTTTGTTGAATTATTCTGTATTGCATTTTAATCAATGAATTACAGCGAACTGTAGCGAAACTAATAAAATAATTACCAGAACATTTGAAAGAAAAACGAGAATTACTCAAGAATTTTGCACATTTCGATGGATCATCTTAACGAAATCACTCAATAAAAATAGCAAATTTAAATTAGTTTTGTCATCTTTACTGAATTACTTTGTATGAAGGATTTTACAAGAAATCTTCCAGTGAATACTTTAAATATGGTTTAAATGCAACCAAAAATTATTATTAAAATAATTAACAATTTGGTAAGAAATCCAGACAAACTATTTTTTACTTAGGTTATGTAGTTACCTCCAATTGGGGTTATTTCATTAGGTAATCTATGGTTTAAAAATAAAATTTCCTCGCAATTTCAAATTGTTTACTATCGGGTACCGGAAATACAGAAATTTGACAGCAAGAATAAACAAATATGGGAATTTTAATTGTTTTTAATTTTATATGTAATTTGATGTGTAATGTTAAAGTATTTTAATGTGAAATTTTCTTGACGTAGGGCTGATGAAGGCCAAATTTGTCGAAACCGGTACCCGATAATAAACAATTTGAAATTGGGAGGAAATTTTATTATTTTTGGACCATAGATTACCAAACTATTTTTTGTTGCATCGTTTTACGACCCAATGACTTAAGACACCCGTTATTCTAACAGGAAATATATTAGGTACCATTTTTCTAATACAGTTTTTATTACAATTACATTAATTAAAATAATAGCTGAAAAAAAAGCAGTGAAAGTAGATTTTTTTACAATTGATAATTCCAGACATTAAAAACTAAATTTATACTTGCAGTAAGCTACGATATCCACTTCATTGTTGGTAACAGTTTTGTACAGTCGCGGCCGTTGAAAACTAAGACAATTTGACAAATCCAAAATTTTGCATTGTAAAATGGCCTGAAACTGAAAATTCTAAAATGTCATTCAAATAATTACGAGTCGGTGTCGTAGAATAGAAAACTTTACTTAAAACAATGAACTTCAAGTTTGTAGACAGAAATAACTAATATTTTATTGCAGCACCATCCGAATCCGAAAAATTGAAATTGACATTGTCATCCTAGATGAAAACCTAATTTACACTTTACAAATTTTTAAAATAGCAAATAGTATACCAAAAGTGAATGTCTTAGTTTTCAAGGGCCGCGACTGTACATACCTACTTAATATTTAATTTCTCTTTCAATGTTACCAACTGCGTAACCAAAATCACAGCCTACTCCAATTGTGTTAATCACAAATTTTGTGCGCATTTTTTGTTTTCAGTAATTTTATTTGAGTTAAAAGTGGTAAAAATCTATAACTGCTTGTACTCCTTTTATAGCATTTTGGTTGAGTGTTGTGGTAGGTCGGTTGATGGGGGTCTGAAACCGCAGCGAGTGATAATTCGTTTTGTTTCAGTTTGAACATAATGAAACCGCAAGTGGACATAAAAAACTCCCAAATCAAGTAGCACAAAATGAAAGAAATATGTTCACAAGTGAGGGCAACCCTCGCTTGGAGTCGCGAGATGAATCAGTGAATCCCCCAATGGTTCAACATCGAAATGTTGAAGCACATGTTGACCACGAACGGGGGTGTCGCAAACCGCGTCTCCCGTCCAGATAGCTCGATGGTGATGGAGCCCCGGATCGAGCAGGGGGCATATAGATACCGGTCTCCGAACGCCAACAGCTCTCGCATCTCGCAGCAGTACCCCCTGAACGTCTCCCAGCTTCACTCCCAGAACAATCTGGACGCCTCCAAGCACTCCATTTACAGCAATGCTACTGTCTTGCCCCAGAACAAAACGCTCAATGGCGGGCTTAACATCTCCAGGGTGCGAAACCAAAGCACCGTTAACAAGTTTATGGCCAAGTCTAAACAAGTCGGCGTTAAGGAAATGCTCGTCAGTTTGGGCCTTTTGTGTCTAGTGAGTTTGCTACTAGCGTTGTTGTCACTGATTTTTCTGTTGAAAATATCACCAGTGACCGCCAGCGATATCCGAGAATTGCTAAGAGCCGAACAATTAACGGTGATCACAGCCGAGGAGTATGTTGTGGTGTATGAAGTGACGTTAGCCTTATGTGCACTGACTTTATCACTTAATTTATGTTGTTTATTAGTGTGCGCCATCCAGTTTTTATTTGCCGTTAAACTAGTGAAAAGCCCACACGGCGGAAACGATAGGTAAGTCACCAAACATTATTTTTGTCTCCAAAACTGCAAGGACAATTGATGGTTAACATTTACCTGTCTTGGAACGCATGAAAAGTAGCGGTATGTGGTAAACCACTCAACCATGCGTCTGCTATGTGGAAATTTGAAAAAAATTCCATCTTATAAATAAAAATTGTTTTTTTGTTAGGTAAATGCATTTTTAATTCAGTTCTTTTACCTTTCGAGGTATTTTAATTATAAAAGAGCACTCAAGCCGTAAAAGTTAGTTAATTTTATTTATAATTTATTAGTTTAAAGCCGTACAAAAGACTCGAACAATTGGAGGCGGAAATAAAGCGATTACGACGGTTATAGTGACAATCGAGAATTAAATGCGCTAAGGCTGGCTACTCCGATAATTAATTAACATGCTTGTTGACAAATTAATTCATTATCTTCTCTTAATAAGTATTCAAAATAAACGTGTCTTTGTTCAAATATTTCAGATTTTGTTTTTAAAAGGGTGTAATTGTTATCATCTACCAGTTTGTTCCGTTTTTAGTTACCAAATTATTTTAAAAGGTTTATGTGTATATTTTTGTACAAACTTAATCAGTAGTCAATTAAAAAAAATATGTTTAGAAAATTTCTTAAATTTTTATAACCAATATACAGGGTGTTAAAAAAAAGATTGTAATATATTTCAGGAGGTAATAGTTGTAGACCAAAGCAAACAAAAAAGTCTTAATAAACATGGATCCCCAGAATAACGGTTTCGGAGATATCGAAAATGATTTGTTTTTGAAACATTTATTTGCAGTCTGTTCAAACAAAAAAGATAAACTACTAGTAAAAATTCTTATAATTTTCACATGCGATATCTCCGAAACCGTTACTTTGCGGACCCACGTTTATTAAAACTTTTTTGTTTATTTTGGTGTATACTATTTACCCTCTTAAATATTTTACAATCTTTTTTTAACACCCTGTATGTTTTTCAAAATGAAAATTTATGTGGATCACTCTTATTTTCTTAAATACACTTGTAATTAAATATTAAAAGAAAAATTGAATACTACTGTACACTTTCCCATTAATTTAAAAAAAGGAGGTTATTAAATTAATTTAGGCTGGTGACAACAGTACATCATAATGTTGTGTATACTTTATACACACATTATTTGGTGACAAATCTACTATTTTGAGAACATAGTTGAAACTGTAGAAATTTTGATACATACAGAGTGAACAAAAAATATGGAACCAAGCTACTTTTTTTCCAAAATGGTAACTTATATGAAATTTTTTTTCGATAATATTGAATAAAATGAGATATGTAGTTGTAATCCTTAGATCGTAGCGTTTGTAAAAAAAAGTTTATAGTGGGTTGCCATTTTAAAAAATAAAAAATTTTGCAAAACTCAAAAACAAAAAAATTCGAAAAACTTTATTCTTGAAAAACGTCACATTTTTATAGTATTTTATCCATTCATTCCTTAGTTTTTTTTTTAATTAATAGTTTAGGCAAAAAAGGTTTGATTCCATACTTTCTTCTGTTCACCTGGTATATGTGGAAACACATGCTTTTCATAATAAGAGGATTTCATTTCATGGCAAATATTTATTTTGGAGATATATTATATTTATTCTTAAACTCTTCAAAATGGCCTTTTAATAAATGAAAGTTCCTTGAGTGATCGACAGTGTCCGTTAATTAAAAGACCAATTTGTTCTCTCTGAGATAAAAACAGAAACGTGTAAAGTATAAAATTTTGAAAAGCAGGTGCTTTAACTTCCTGCATATTGTAATTAATGCAAATTGCGCAAAGTTATAGTACTTGAGTGTGTTTACAACTTGTTACAACTTCAATAAATAATTAATTGAATCTTGCAATTTTCGGAAAATTCTTCAATGTTACGACTAGTTTCGGCGAGTGTGAGTTGACCTTTAAATTCGCATGAAAAAATCGAAGGTGATTTCAGACGAGTTCTAAATCCGGTCATCAAAAATTCTCACACACAATTTCCGTTCAAGTAGGTATACCAACCTAAGTCAATTATAGAACAGGAAGTCAGAGTAATGACTGATTTTTTCACCTGCTACTGAGATAATAACTGTAAACAATCGAAGAAAAAACAAACACCTTTAAAGCACATTTATATGCAGATATTTCCAAGTTACTCAACTTGTTACGCACTACACGACGAGATATTATTTAATACATGCATGTCGCATTTGTTAAGTTTATTGTTACATTATTGCAGCTATTACTATTATTATTATGAAAATCGCTGCGATAATTACGCGATTTGTGAGTTATTAAATTCACTTTGACACATTTTACTCCGCTACGAAATGTCAAAAAAACAGGAAGATGGGCCTTGAACCGCCTGATACATGGCACACATTTCCGTATTTAAATCACTGAATCACAAATTCCAATAAATCACTTTTATTGAAAAGGATTGAGAGTTTTATGAAGAAATAATTATGGCATTTAAAGTAACAATAGAATAGAATTATCTCTTACTCTCTAAATTACGTTATTTGTGCATGCAGAAAATTATTCATTCGCTTTTCAATCGCCCAACATTGTCGAAAAGTGAAAAAACGTAATTTCCTTGCGTAAAGTATACATTTGAAGTGAAACTAAAGGAAATCAAACTGGACTCATTGTAAAAACAGATTAGTAAAACTAGTCAGAGTTAATAGATTCCTATTGCCATTTAGCGCTGATGTAAATGACTAATATACATTTTTACTTATGAATCAACAATTTAAAACAGAACAGTTATGTTTTCCGCAAAAATCTCCATAATATATGGAGAGAAACCAGAAAAGTCTTCCTTGTTGTGGGTTCTTGACTAATTTTTCATTTCGGATGTCTCTAATGTGTACCAATTAATGACGGGACTTAAAACCGGTTAGATTTTTGTGTGAGGAAGCGTAGGCTAGGAATGAGCATCAATGAAACTGGAGTGAAATCATCCGCTTTCCGCCCTTGTGCAGTTTTAGTTCGAGTGAATGTTACTGATGGCCTTCCTGCATTCCAGTTATTTTTCACAAAACGGTAAATTGGCGAGTGGAACTCGTTTCATTTTTCGAAATGTAACAAAAACTGGTACCGTAATTTAATATATTTTGTCACTGGGTGTCGAAAGTATGTGTTAAACAAACAACGAATGACTGTTTGTTTATTTTATTATAGGTATTTTCACTCACTGTTTAGATAATAAAAAACTTTCACACACAAATAAAAAGTGATAAGTAATGATAAGTCCCAGTTGCATTTCACTGTTTATAACCGAACAAAGCGATTTTATTTATGGAAGTTGCATCTGACCATTGAGAACTAGCTTATTTCATAAATAGAAAATCAGGAGCACAGGAGCTGAAACAATTGCTTCCGCCAAGTGGAACCGAAATTACTGTAATTTTATTTACATATCGCGTTTGGGAATCGACTACTCGTGTGAAACACGAATTTTCTTGCGAAGACTATTTTCTATTAAATGTATTGCAACATCTGGACAAAATATGTTTAATTTATAACGTGATTCATCTGAAATATTCGCCAATGACATGTTAAACATTGACTAAAACCAGATGCTGAGCAAATCGCACCCAACAAACAAAAGATTTCAGTTTTTTCAACTAGTAATGTTATTTCCAGATCTCAACCTTGCTGTATTTTGGAAGAAAAAAGTAAAATCAAGCCACTTTAGGCTAAAAAGACTCATTTACTAGAGCCGTAGAAAAAAATTGGCATTCTTTCAAAATAAAAAATGGGGTATTTGACTTGTTTTCTCACAAGTGTTATTTTAAGAAAGTCATAAACGCAGTGGCGTAGCGTCGCCATAAGGTCTCGATATTTTTTTTGTAGTTTTTTATTGTTTTTCCACCTAATTAGATCAGTTTTGTTCACAAGTCGACTTTTTATAGTAAATGATTAAAGTTCTACTAATTTAATTAATTAATTATGTAATTTAATTTTAAGGTTTCAAAAGTATCAGAGACCCAATATTAATAAACGGTGAGAAAACACTCAATATTTTCTGCAATCTCTAAAAGTTCCAAAATTATTTTTTTTTACGAAAATTGTAACCGCTATAACTGCAGTTTTGATTTTGATCTGCAACAAAATTTAACGGTTGTTCCAAATTGTTATATTTTTTAATTCTTTAAGGGGTGTTTTTAGGATATTTTAAAACGAAAATTGAGTCTAATTTAAAAATACCCAAGAAATCTCACTTTTTACACATATTTTGTAATTTAATGTATTTATTTATTCCCTTAAGAAACTATTTCTGCACTGATACCTGTGTAAGAAATATCTGTGGTTTACCTCAAAATGTTAATCACAAGGCCTGCAGTGTCAGGGAAATACACTTAAGCATATCGAGTTTCATAGGGATTCAATAACTTAATTAAAGGCTTCGTGTGTCTCACTTTTGAATCGATTTTGTGTTCCAGGACTAACAAATATCTGCAAAAGTCGTCCGTGAGTCGCGTATGCGCAGTTGGGGGATTTTTCATCTCAATCCCAGTTTTTCTAACCGGTGAGTTTTCCAAATCTTAATCCCAAATCAGTAATAAATTTCCAGGGATTATCCTGTACACTTTCATCCAATTCCACTCGACTCCTGCGATCGTTACGAGTGTGTTCATCGGCTTGGGGATAATTTTCTGCGGTTGTGCGATGGTCCACAATGTGTTTATCTGGCAACGAGAGAAAACCAACGCTGTCAAAGAACTGGCTTTAGCCCAACACGAGCAATCCCAGAGCCATAACTCCTTCCATAGCGTCGCTCCAACCACGCAACTGAATCACTCCCATATCAGTCACGTGAACCACAGTTTTGGCCACCCTGTGGCCCCAGCCACCCATACGAGTCCGTATGTTGTCAGACCTGCGACCACGACGCCACCCACGGCCGAAAATCTAAACTTGACGAAGTTGTCGCATCCGAGGGAGGCGAGTGGGAGTGTCAGTCCGGGGATGCCCACAGCGACCTTGGAACTGAGCAGTGTTGCCACCACAAACTCGCCACACGAGTTGTCAACTCTAGTTTGAAAACCAGTCATTGTTACTATTATTTATCAGAAGTTTTTATTATTGTATATAGAGGGCTAGAGGGTATTTAAAGATTGTATATACCGCTTTGTTTCACAACGGTTTTTGTGTACATTTGTGAAATTTCAAAGAGTTTTTTAGTACAAAACAGTCTCACTGCCTATTTCAGGTTTGATATTATTGCCGTCTGTTACTGGAATCTAGATTAATATATTTTATACTGATTTTATATCTAACAAATTGCCTTTATATGAATAAACGTTTCAAAAAACCCACTACGCACCAAATGACAATCCAGCAATTTTTAATATTTTATTTTGAAACGCTAAAACTTTACAAATTTATATAAACTATAACATGTAATCAAAACTAAAACATGGCAAAACGCTGGAAGTGGTTCAAATTACAAACGTGTATTGAACAAAACAGAATTTTAAATCAATCAGAATGCGATTGATATCAGGGCAGGTACAAACACTCGAATTCAGAATTTTTCACCGTTTGTTTTCTTAGTCACAGGTGGTTGCAATAAATCACAGAACTGTAGAAGAGCTTCCCTCAACGGCCTCGAAACTTGCGTAGATGTCGTTGTTGTACATTCGACTAAAAATGGGTACAATTTTATCAAATGTTCCCAGCCTGTACTATCTTCTGAAACAAACTTGGTCACACAGTGATCTTTTTTATCGACGCTGTACCTTTAACATGGGCCTTTTTCATTGATATGATTAGAGTGGTCACAGCTTTAAGAACAAACGAAATTTCGGAAAGACGGTACCTGCAAAATGAGTGCTTTAGTGGCCGTTTGGGCACTCAAATGTGTGAAATTTTACCTCGGCAAGGGGCACTTGCCGCTCAGCTTCTCGTCCTCGATATATTTCTCCAATACCTCCTGAAATCTCTGCAAAAGAGAGGTGACCGCAAGCTGTCCGGCCAAATCATCACCATTGACAACCAACGCTCTATTATCACCGTCAATTAAGGAAAACTGCAACAAAGTCTCGAAACACGTCTTTGCGAACTCTTCCCGAAGTGTCAATTCCGAATCACTGTCAGTTTTGACATTTGTAGCGGAATGAATCGACCCTTTGTTTAGTAACACGACAACTTGCATGATAAAATCTTTTGGTATTTGACTGGAATAGGGCAAAATTTCAGTCCTCAGTAACTCAATGAGTTGGCAATCAGTCGCTTCATCAGACACCATTTCGTCTAAGCCTTTATCAGCAGGTGCAGACATACTCGGGAATAAGAAATCGTTTAAAGTTGTGGCTAATTCAGGCCACATCGAGGCAAATTGATTCCCGTTAGCTCGGGCGACCTTAAGGCCGGTTTTTAATACACTGATTAGGCTATTAGCCGCCAGTTTCCAAATACTGTTAGAGAAACAATTGTATTTTAAAGCTAGAGGTTTATGAAGGGCTGCGATTATTCCGTGTAGAATATTCCCGCCGATGACTTCGGGATTTTCGGCTGTTTTTTCGTAAAGTTTGACAGTCATTGTCATTGCTTTTTCCCCGAAAGGGATATAGTTCATAGTGATCCAATCCGAGACTTTGGTATGTCTGTTGTCCAATCTGCCGGAGTTTGGGGGAGTACAAGTGAATCTTGCAAAAATGAGCAACCTTTTAAATAACTCCGGAATCATTTTACTGTTATTCCTAGCGAGAGCTTCCTTTTGCAACAATTCCATGGTGTGTAAGACACCATCATGCAACGGGGTTAGACTCACATCTGACGAAGTTGAGATCATATAAGGGGTAGATTCGCCATATACTGGGACACTAACAGCATTTGTTAAAACAGTCCCTAACTGTTTTAAATCATCCAAGTTGAAGTTACTTTTAATATGCTGAAAAACACTGGGGAATATTTGGACCAAAGCCGTCAAAAATGTCTGACTCGGGAAATAGAAATCGTCACTTTGTTCACTCTCTAGAGCCGGGATTGTTATTTCAGTCCCAATTTTCACCCAAACTTTCCACGCAATCGCCCAAATTTCTCTATCCTCAATCACAGCTTTATTGTCAGTTGGTTGAGTTTTACTCAAGAAGAGTATCTCTTGGAATGACTTTAGTGCAGCTATTGAAACCTCGTTATTTTTACTCAACGCCGCATTTTCGATAAATTCCAAAAGTATAGACCAGGCTCGTGGAAAATCTCCCAGAGCTTGCAACAGTTGTCTTTTAGTATTAAAAACTCTCGCAACTCCCGATAATGTCAAAACTTGTGTCTCGGCCCACTGTTTTTGTGCTGTGTTTCTCGTGTGGTGTATTAGGATGTTGCCCCCAGCGTCGACTTTCTCACTGCTGGCCGAATTCGATAAATTTCGGACCTTATCGAGGAGAGGGAACAACACCTGCCACAGAATCGCCTGCCATGTTGATTGTTTCAAAAGCCCACCATGGGCTGATATCGTGGAAAACAAAGTCTGACCGGCCGATTTTCGCACAGCCGGGCGCGAGTCGACACAGAGTTCGCCGAGACGTGCATACAAACACATCCAAAGTTTATCAAAACTGGGCATATTTAAAGTCCCAGGAAAATCAGGGAGGACTGTAGTGTCCTCGGTTAAAGTCTGGCTCAATTTACCCTGATTCTGGTGGAAATAATCGGAAATGTTCCACTGAAATTCGAAAAATCATCATTAATGAACCACCCATTTATTTTGAATTACCATAAGCCCGACTGCGGTTAGAGAAATGTTCAATTCTTGCGTCTGGGACCCGAATTTGGCAACAGTGTCCACGCATAGAGGCAAACAGCGCCACGGCATCACCGGGAGGAAATCGGTTATGACCAACTGGAGGCATTGAAACGCGATCCGTATCAAATTTTCACTGAAACATAATCATTAACTTTCTGTTACCAAACTAATATTGAACTTTATCAGAAATTTGATAGTGCTATAATGCTGTAAAACTAAAAAATAAAAAGTTCATTACCAATTTTATTTTTAATGCGTACGAAATTAATGTGTAAAAATCTGAATGTAAAAAAAAACTTCAATGTTGTGTTCTGAAATTCATAAGTTCCTCAAAATTTCAATCTGTCCACAATTTTTATTTAATTAAGACCTATTTTGTAGGTAATGATAAAACTTGAATGACGCAGTGTGTTTTTTTTATGAAAAACATCAGGTTTTACATTTATTTATTTATTAATTATTTATTTGCGACAATCAACAGAACCTGTACATACACTCTCCGTCAAAAAATGCAACATTTTGAAAAAATAATAAATTCATTATTAAATCACTGTTATTCTCAATTTTTTTAACAAAATCTTGAATTTAATACAATAAATTTGATAAAATTTAAACTTACAAGATCTTTTGACGATGAGTGTTATTTAAACAATTTTATTAATTTAATTGCATACCCGTGTTGGTCGCTGACGGCGCCAATAATGCCCAAAACAAGGGGCCAGCCATGTGAGAGCGTTTCCCCCGCCCCATGTAAAATCTCAAGGACGCACTCGAGCTGCCTCTGTCTTACATCCCCATGTGGTACTGAAGACAGTTCAAAGAGCGGTCCCAGAAGTAAAGTTTGCAATTTTTGGTTATCTCTCAATGGTACAGTGTGTTTATAATGCAACGCTGACTTGACCAAATACGTTATAGCCTCAACCCCCCATTCTCTCATCCTAATATGAGGGTGTCGACAAACTTCCAACAAATGATTGGTTAAAGGCCGCCATAAAACCTCAATTCTTGGCATGTTAACCAAACCGGTTTCTAGTAACTTAGCAACGGCAAATAGTGACGGTTCGCGATTCGAGTAGGCTAGTTCCATGGCTTCCTGTGACAATTTACAGAGAGCATTGATAAGGTGATGTAAGGCCACATCGTCAAGATATTGGCTCGTTTCAAATAACCGGCTCAACATTTGGGACAAAACGGGCAAATCAGCCATTACTGATGTGGTTATAACCGCGTTCGAATCGGTTGTGAAGCGACCGGCTTTTAAACTGCCACCAGTTGAGGGCTTCAAACCCAAAATCCAAACTAAATGTTGTAGAGTTGTCAAAACTAAATGCCAGGATGTTCCAAGGATACTTCCGTGACAATGGGCCAAGCTAAGCAAAGCTCGCATCGCTTGTAAATTTTTAGAAGTGAGCATAACAGGGCCTTGTTGTGTTCCTTAAATTGTTAAAAATTATTTTTAGTATATGTCTACCCAATGTGGCTTACCTGCCGGCACCGAAGACGTTGGGAGTGGCGTTCCCACAGCTACGACTTGTTGTCTATAGTCGGCTTCGCCATAATTCGCCATCGCATGCAATTCCTGGCCATCTCGATGTCCTAAAATAAAAATTTATTTGGGGACAATTGACAAACCTGTCAATAAACCTGTTCGAATCCCACTCGATACTGTGTTTAAGACAGTTAGGGCGTAATGTGGCGGAAGTGACGATTTACAGATAGCTGTAATAAACGCATCTCTTGGAGTGTCTAGACCCAGTTCCCCACTAAGCGATGCATAGGTTTGTAACGCTTTTAGGATATTTTCAGTAACCGATTCGTCGGTACTTGCGTCAATAAGTGGAGTCAACGCTGCGAGTAAGCCACACCAACTTGATATTATCAACTGGGTGTGGAGTTTTCGGTCCTCTTCTGTGGATTCAGGTGGCGGCGATTGGCTTTCGCCTTGTTGCTGAGGCCCGATTGTGATTTGCAAAGACCGAATTATTTCCAAAAGACTGGCATAAGCAATAGAAATGCCATAACCGTCAGGAATTGTGGGCGGCTCAATTTTATCCAACATTTCCAAACTGTCAACAATTTTAACAAAAAATCAAAAACCAAATTTTACTACTTACTAAATCGATTTTGTTTGTCCTGTCGGAAAAGTCGTCACAATTGGCAACCAAACACCACGCATCAAAAACCCAGGTTGAGGGGAAACACCGGGACCGGCCGGCAAACCCCCCAAAAATACCGGAGGCTGGCCTTGAGTTATAGTCACTGAAAGCAAATTTTCGAAAAAGTTCGCACACGAGTCATGTCATACTTGTCGTCATTTGTAATTGTGCATTTACAAAAAGTGACTGGACGTAAGCCCCCAAGGAATTGACGATATCCTCAAAAATACTAGTGGTATGTTTGTTGAGATCATAACATTTACAAAATGAATTCAAAAGTTCGGGTTGAATTGTCATTTTATGCAGGACTTCCAAGGCAAGTGATCGTTGCCAAGTGGGCTTATCAGGGTCCAAAAATTTCACAATTAGAGATAAAAATATTTCACATTCAGTCACCTGAAAAGCAAACGATGTATTTTTCATAGCCCTACTTTGAGTAGCCCTACCAGAAGACTGTGATACTTCTGAATTAAAATAGACACAACCCGCAACAGTCTCATACTTATCGGAAAATAAGGTTTTTCAAAAGGGGTCGCTTGCTGTACATTTGATGACATAGTGCTCCTGTATTTAATATTGGGCGAAAATAATTTTATAACAAGAGCACAAACCCGCTCCTTCAATAGAAAACTAAACTCAGCGTTCTAAAATAGCGATTAATTATAATTTTAATAAAGAAGAAAGAGCTTTTTAACCTTGTAGAAAACAACTGAAAATTGTGTCAAAACCGACTCAAGCAACTCTAAACCAAAAGTACGCGTCATTTCAGTCATTCCAATCAACCAGTAGGGTTGATCAGCGTTAACTAATTGAACTAAGTCTTGAAATAACAAATACGCATCGGCGGCGCATGGTGGCAACCCTTTTGGTGGAGTCCCACTTGGTACTTTAAAATCTTCCATGTTGATTTGTTTCTGGACCGGAGTATTTTCGTTTTTTGATAAAATTTCGTCCTCTGCAACCACACGTTCAAATACGAGAGACACTAATTGCCTGACTGTGGCCCCAGCAGTATTAATTGTAGTCGAATTTTTAGCAAAATGCAAACGAAAACACAAAACCAAGGTCTAAAAATTGTCATTTTTAACTGATATTCAAAAAAACAATCATTACCCTTGCTAGGGTGTCTCCATGCACTACTGTATTTGTTGTCAGTAACAAAGTGACTGACTGAAGTATTTTTACTTCTTCTATCCCAGATTCCATCAAAGTCCATAACGTATCAGTGATATAAAGCGCACCTTTTTGATCTATTAGTTGATGTGTTATTAATTTTTGTATAATTTGTAAGCAACCCTAAAATATAAATGTTTTTATAAACGGGTGCCAATTTTTCCCTCTCAAAACCTACTTTAATTAATTTGACATCTTTAGTTTCACAACCCTGTGACAAAGGGTAAATAATTTGGTTGATAACGTAGTAAATAGAAGTTTGAGGAGTTGATAAAGCTGCTTTTAGTTTAACTATAGCTTCCTCACATGACTGTAATTAATTGAAAGTAATAAACAAATTAATAATTATGAATCATGTCACCTCTTTTATAACCGGATACTTCTTCTTAGATTCTAATGCCAGATTCTTGAAATCGGTTTGTAACGATTCAATAAATGCCGCTGATACTTCCACACTATGCACACCATTCTCATACGCCATAATTTTCGAAAATTACTCAAAAAGCTGAAAATTCTTTGAAAACATTAAGCTGAGCTGGCACTTGTCATTTGTCACTGTCAACTTTTCAATTGTTTATTCGACGATTTGGAATTTTACCACATATTTTTCACTAGTAAAACACTTTACTTTTATTTTACGACTCTACTTATTGCCATTGCAATATTATTTATAATTATTTGACTAATTACAAAACATTTAACCCGCAGCACCGATCAACTGACAGTTGTTATGGGGATGAAACTTCTTTCGATCGCTTGTGCAAATGAACGAAATTCGATTTTAAACACTGTACTAAATGTTGCTACACTTTATTCAAATTTAAATAATTGTACACATTTAAGCATTGCGTTACATTTATAAAAATTAAATTTTTAAATAATGTTTAAATTGTGGCCTGTATACAAAATGTGCTTATACAACTGCAATAGCCAACGTGTTTAAGGTGTTGCCTAAGTAAATAAATAAAAAATATACGAAGTACACACTGTAAAAAAATATGTTATTTTTTTATCCAATACAGAAATTGATTATATAAATTACACAAAATTAAAAATTCTTGTAATGATGCTCAAATCTTTGGACCGTTTGCGCGTTTATTTCATTACACGCTGAATCCACGCTCGTGGTCATTGATGGCGGGCCACAGCTGAAAACACCGACCGAATGGACCTATAAAAAATCCTCAAAATATTTATTTTTTAAATAATTTCCATACATCTTCGTGTAGTGAGGCCACAGTGTAGAAAAACTTTTTAAAGTGGGGGCGTCCGAAGTGTGTCACAGCTTTCAAATTTGTGAATAGAGATCGGTTTGATATTCTCTGGTAATGCCGCTCGCAAATGTACAAGAAAGTTGTACGTAAATCAAACTTTTCAAAAAACTGAGTTATAAAAATGTGACAACTTATTATATTTCGTTTGTCTTTGTATTCCAACTCTCGGATTATATCAACCAACCATTCAAATTGTTTTTGCGTCCGGGATACCCAAATAAAATAAACCTGGAAGTATTTTTAGGAAAAGATTTTGAAGATTGGGAACCTACCTTTTTGCATCTGGTTTGATTTGAGCGAAATACAACGTCTTTTAAAATACTGGCAAAAGGAGTGACTCCAATTCCGCCCCCTATTAATACCGATATTTCGAATTGGTTCCAGTCTTGGTGACCCTCTCCATAAGGGCCGTCCAAATACAACTAAAATTTTTTATTCACTTCAAACGGCAACAAGAATGAATCAGTTTACTTTAGGTAGTAGCGAATTAGAGGAACCTTTATTAAAATTGTCGTAAAGTCGCCTGATGTGAGTTGTCCACGGACCAACAGCTCGAATATGCACTGTTAAATTATCTTCATCAGGAGACGAAGATAACGTAAATGGGTGATATTCGTTTTTATTTAGTCCTAAACTCGCTATTCTAATCCATTGTCCTGATTTGTATTGAAAATTTTCCGGTTTCCGAAACTCCAACATTGTCACATCTAAACACGATGAATATTAACCAAAAATAAATTCATTTGGGAAACTCACTTGAAGGCAAAATTTCGGCTCGAATTACAGGAATAGCCACCTTTTTCCGACTAATACTAATAACGGAATCAATCGTAAACAAAATCACGGGCCCCAAAAAAAAATAGTAAAAAAATGGCGGCTGGATAAGCCGTCCTGTACCATGCAAAACCATAAAAATGAAAAACAACGGATACATATTATGTGTGTACCAAAACCAGTTATAAATGTTCCGCCTTACGACATTTTGCGCGAAAATATAAATCAAAGCCCAAATTAGTGTTAGAACAATCCCCGTAAAACCCGTTATAGTTTGCCAACACCAGTAGTGGAATTTTGGCAACTCGTGAGTCCTAAAATTTTACAAAACATGAAACTAGCAAAATAGGGGTTTTTTACTCACGCGTGGAAAAAATTTCGGAATAGACAGGTAAGGTCATCGGCAGTTTGGGTGGAAATGTGGTAAAAATTAAAAGCGTGTCCTACGATATGCATGACTGGAAGAAATTTAGGTTCGTTAAAAAACTAGAAATTATTCCAGACAATACCTGTGAAAAAAAAGGCCCAAATTGCGATGTATTTGTGCATTTCGACAGAGGCATCAAACGGGAAGTAGTTATTGGCTACTGTGTCCCTTAAATACGTAATTGCGTTTCTGCACATTGTGATAAGTAGAGAGGAATAAGTAAACATCATTGCTGAAGCTGCTCCGCGAGTTATGGTCACTCCGTATCCCGCTATCCTGCGAAGCCCTGAATGTTCCCGCTCAATGGTGTAATCTAAAATCGTCAGAAAATAAAAAAAAATAGGAAATTCTAAATTACAGTAGGCCCTTTCGATGAAAATTGCCCACAAAACCAGCGTGTACAACATCATCCAGAAAATTTGTTTCGACTTTAATTCAATATAACGTACGAAAGCAAATTTCGACCGAGTTATGTGCTGAGATTTGATTGATTCGGCTTGATTATCATCGATTACTCGACTTGTGTCTCGAGGCTGAGACTGGATTTCGCCTTGGAAACGCTCCTGGATTTCTTGCCGACTCCTGAGACACCAAATTAGTATTTTGAAGGGATCTCCGGCTCTCACTATTACACATAAATTTCCGCAATCGTGTCCCGAGCAACTTTCAAATATGATTGGCGATTTTGCGAGCTAATTCCTCTAAAATCAAGCCTGGCGTCACTCAAATATTTGATTTCTTTTCCAAACAGTTTGAGAAAGTCGTCAAAGTCCAGTTCTTGTTTATGATTGAGCCCTGCCTGGTTTAACATCCCCTGAACTGTGGTTTGTAATTTATCGTCCTCGACGTTGCCCCCAACTGTGGCTAAAAACGACCTAAATCCGAGTTAAGTCAAGTCAAGACAAAATAAAAAAATTACTTAATCATGGCAATGAAATTCTCTTCTTTTAGGTGCCCAACGGCATTTACATCGTACATGTTGAATAACAACCTGGCTTTCGCATCCTCATCCCCCTCGGCAAAAATAACCAACAAGTCGACAAACTCCCGAAATGAAATGAATCCGTTTTTGTCCTTGTCAACAAGTGTAAACATTCGTCGAACAAACTCGTCCTGTGCTCGCATACTCAAAGCTTCAGCAAACTCACTCAAAGTCAGTTCCGTATCAGCAATCTCTTTTTCGAGAGATTCATCAACGTGTAATAACTCCTTCTGAGAGTACTTTATTTTGAAAGTTTGAGCGAAAACCACACGGTAGAACCGCTCGAGTAGCAATTGCCGGTCAGTTTTGGTTGTGACTTTCTTCAATGCTGACTTCCACGTAAAACTTGAGATATTTTCGCGAGTGAGGCCACTGCTGGTCAAAAAGGGGTCAAGCATTTTCAAGAATTCGCCCCTCAAAAAATTGCTCTCAAACAGCAAGATTAAGTCGTAATCGTGCGTGGATTTTATGATGACATAAGGGGCGTCTTTGATTTCGTAAACTTCAACTTTTTTCTTAGTGATTGTGAAGTCGAGGACACGAAGTAATTCGCCTCTTTGGGACATCACTTCAACGACTTTTTTGTCCTTTTTGAGGACCAAAACAACACGTCTTGAAGGAATTTTCTTGCCCAACCATTCATCAACTGGAAAAAATTTTGAACAGGGGAAGCAAAAAAGCAAACAAACCTACCGACAAATAAAGGATAATTAATGCTATTATCATTTTCAAATGTTTTTCTTGTTGTTTCATTTGCTTTGATTTTTACCTCCCGTATTTGTTTTCCTTTTACTTTTATTAACATATACATGGCTCCAATTGAACCTACAAATTGATTTAGTAACGTCCTCATCGATTTTTTGCGGCTATACCTATGATAAACGTTCCTATACAAGTAAAAGTCAAAATATATGAAATTTCACTTCTGCTAAAATAATCATAGGAAATTCCTTGAACACAAGATTCGTTTATGACATTCGTGCTAAGTGGCTCAAGGTGGTAGCAACTGAACGTTTCATTGTTTCTACTTACACAAGAAGAATTCATTAAACGACAGGTAGAAATTAATTGATTATCTAAAACAGCAGTAGTTAGAACTTCAAAAAGTATGACTGAAAATTTTTGAATTTCCAGACAATATGCAATATATCAGGGCCGGCCGAAAATGACTTGGCCCCAAGGAGTCAACAAAAACAATTCCATATACTAACTGTAATAAAAAAATTGCCTCTCGTTTTTAACAAAATTTGGAAGATCCTACTGTGAACATAACTGAACTTTATTCCAAAAACTAATCTGAATCTTGAGTTTATGAGTAAATAACAATTTTAAATAAAATGAAAATTATTTAAATAAATGTCAAACAAATTAGAATAGTCTATTTTTGGCTCCCAATGAGATTTGACCCAGGGACCACCAGTTGCCAGTCCTTTATATTTTAAAATACCTGCATCAGTAGGAGCATTAAATACGTTTTTGGGTAAGTCGTTAGGATCCATTTTGGTGACTGCCATTATTATATCATATAGTGTAATTTTCTTAATTCTTTGAATTTCATTATTGGTAAATAAACTGGAAAACTTTTTTTAGTGGTAATATTCAAGAAACGTAACTAAATGCTTAAGCTGAAAAATCTTAAAGGATTGAAAATTGTATAATTGTTCGAGAAAATCTAATTGTATTTTTATGCGGAAGCATTTGCTGACGTTTACAAATATTATTCTTTGTGTCTATAATTTTACCCATTTTTTTTGTTTTCGAACCAAAACCGGTCACCATCTCTGATCCTCCTGAACTGATCCTTGATTATCACTCGGAAAAGCTCCCCAGGTCTGTTGTTTTTTGTTTCAAGAATCCCACCGACCCACAGATCAACATCTTCGATTGAATTTTTATACAATTGTCTAAATTCGTTTAACTTCACTGAAAGATGCTCAAAATCTTTGAAAGTATTTCTTCTTAAGCCATAAGCTTGTCGAACTGTGTTGTAATCGGGGATTCCATGATCACGTCCTCTTTGTATATTTAAAGCCATCAGGTCCCTTCGAGGGAATTCCAAAGGACCAAAAACGTTCCCTCGCAAATCCTCAACGATTTTGTGATCTTCCTCCTCACACAATTGAACAGCCATTCCCATCAAAAGTCGGTCAATGTCAATGATTTCGCTACTCCCATTAGATACAGGCTTAACAATCGGTTCATAGGGTCTCCAAAATGAGTTACAGGTCCGTACTGTGTTATGTCCCCAAGTGTCAAATTTATGTTTACAACCATCCCGAATATAATCCCTTAAATACACTCCTGGGACCACGAGAGTGTGTCCAAACCGGAACGCCGCACTTTGGAAAAACTGGTCAATCTGGGGGTCAACCCCTGGGTCATACTTCTCATATTTCGGTAAATCCTCAAAAATCCATTCCGGTAACCAATCATAAACTACGATTTTTTGCTGAGTAGCAATAACCCATTTTCTAGCCTCATTAAAAACCTTCTCACTCGACCACTCAGGTTTCAAAGATCTGATTCTTTTTGCTATGTAATTGTGCCATCGAAACCACATGATGCCAAAAGTCAAAAGAAAGGAGTTTTCGTTTCCTCGAGGGTTACCTAATTCTGAAATTTTAGGGTTATTTGGACGCTAAATATGACTTAGTAAGTGTCTTACTAAAAAATCGTGAAACTTTTGCCGTTTCGTGCGATTTGATAAACATGGAGTGGTAAATAGGGGGCGGGGGGTTTGCCATCGGGAGGCGGTCGGTATTGTACGCTGGGAATAAACCATCATGGGAGGATGCGAGGCAACCATCTGGGTCGATGGTGCCGTTTTCGTAGGTACGTAACTGGTCGGCCCATTGTTTTGTAATGCCGTAAAACAGGCCCCCGTCGAGGTAAGGGGTGATTTCGTTCAACTATTAATTAGAAAAATGTTACACAATAAGAGTGGCTTTGATAAAATTTATTGGGTCACTATACAGGGTAACGTTTCTGATCAATGAAATTTCGTTGTTCGTTGTTAAAATGTTGCCAACCTAATTCAATTACAGGCTACCTTGACCATAAAATTGTATTTATTGAATAGAAAAAAATAATTAAAACTAAAACTTTGCTCGTTTGCATAATTTTTGCTGTGTTTTTGAGGTATAGTAAGTAGAGTTTATCAAATAGTGTTTTTTTGTATCACCGTAATTTACTATCTTTTGTTATTTTTGAAATATTTAATGTTGTTTAAAGATGTATTTAAATTTTAACACATTTTTATTACTTATTTGAGTAATATGACCAATATGCTTATCTTTTTGATGTTTCCAAACTATAAAAACTCAAAAAACGTTTTCGTTGTTTGTGACTATTTTTATTTTTGTTTTTTCCACTATATCTTTAAAACGTAATTAATATATTTGAAAAAATCTCTAATAAAATTAAATATCGTAAAAGCTTTTTAGTACATAATAAAATATAACTAAAATAAATATACAGGTGCGCCAAAACTCGCGCCCCAGAGAAAATTTACAAGCAAGGTAAGATACCAGGAACATGAAAAAAATGCTTAAAAAATTCTATCTCTCAAAGAATTTTGACATTTATTTTTTGACATTTGACATTTTTTTTTATATCTATTTAATAATACTGATGATCTTGTATATGTTTTTATACAATTATTTAGTAAAGGGACAAAAATTTTGCCAATAAAAGCCACAAATAACATTAAAAAGAGTTACAATTTAAGATACAGCTTCCTTGTTTCCTCTTTTAATAGCCTATAGCAAAAAAAACTTGAAAAATTATTTTTCCAACAGAAATAAATAGAGTCAAAATGCAAACTTTGAACCCTCATAACTTCAAAATGTTTATAGATAAAAAAAATTTAACATTTTTTATATGTTTCTGGTATCTTACCTTATGTGGTATAAGTAAATATAAATATTATTAAATATATGTAAATAACAGAAAATAAACAAGATAATATACATACTATAAAATAACCTAACTTATGATGGTGTGAAAAGTACACAATTTGAATTTTTGAACCGAGTAAAACGCGAATTTATGCATTTATAAGTGAAAAATGGAAAACAGTTGAAAATCTTACTTGTTGTCTGGGATTATTGGGGCTGTATCCCGTCCTTTGGTCATATCTGGTCCTCAAAAATGGCATTTTTGAATGGCCCGGCATTTTCAAATACGTGTGGTTTTGGGGCACCTCAATATTGAAATATTCGGGGGGACAAGCCGGCCTTTGAGCATCTAAAATTTCTTCAACGACTTGTTGCCCTAATGCGTGAAAATTAATTTTTGTTTAGTTAAAAAAAGCGTTTTTACCAAAAAAAACAATTAGGGCATTTTTCCCAGTTTTTGATTTTGTCCCTGTTTCGCCTTTCAGTAGTTTTTCACTTAATTCCAAGGGATTGGGGCGGTTTGACCCAGCTGGGAGGTAAGTACTATCTGCGTAGGCTGCAGGCCAACGTCGTAAAAGTGGGCGATCTTTGGAAAATTAATTAGAAAATTTTCAAAATTTTAGGAAAATTACCAATTGCCCCGAGGTCTTGGTGGGCTATGTTATTATACCAGCCGTCGTAACCCTCATATTCGTGACTTTTTTCCGGGATTAAACTTAAGTTGTCCCAAGAGCCGGTCAATAACCAGCTTGCTAGACTTTGCCGGGCGATTCTATTATCCCAAGAGCCGGGCCAGTCACTCATTGCCCTTGGAACTAGCCCATTTGTTGTTATAAAAATTAACAAAAACACAGCTAAAAACTTCATTATTACTTGAAAACACGATCAAATGATGTAAAATGTTAGTTCAAATTTGGAGGAAACCGAGATAAGTTATCGTATTCCCCCGGCGTATACAAACTTTGCATTTTTATTAGATAATGATGGAAAAACCAGAAATAAATGTTAAATAACTATTAATGTAAAATACCGTGTGATTTATTTTCTTGCGTGTTGCATCGCTAGGTGTTCAATAATGCAGTCCAATAAATACAAATAGTGGATTATGATTCGAGTCCAAATCTCAGTCTCTCGGTTGCAACAATGAGGCGGTGTTTCATTTTTCTAAAACTATTTTTAAGCGGTTTGGCTCTAGAAAATTTTGATAAAAGGGCACTCCAAAAGTCACACGAAAAATCCCAACTCGAAAAATGGGAAGATAAGTTTCTTAATCGCGACTCCAGCTTTGACCAGACTACTTCGCTTGTTAATTTACTAAGTAAAATCGCTCTTGAAGAATTATCCGGATGTACGGCTATTATCCTTTACGACATATTCACGGAGAGAAGTAGCGATTTACTCCTTGAAAAACTGTTCCGAACCCTACCAATTCCCTACCTCCACGGCCAAATAACGGAAAAATATCACATGAAAGTACCCCAATTGCTAACAACTGAAGACACTTGCACCGCTTACATCCTTTTCCTCAAAGACGTGATGAGGAGTAAGAATGTTATAGGTCCCCAAACTAACAATAAAGTTATTCTGGTTTCGCGGTCGTCGCAATGGAGGGTTTACGAATTTTTGGCCAGCGAACAGTCGCAGAGTTTTATGAATTTGCTAGTTATCGCAAAATCGGAGAAAATTGTTTCGTCAAACATTGCAAGACTGATTGAACTCGAATTGCTCAAACTAATGTCCGTTTTGTAGGAACTTCCCTTCATTCTCTACACACATAAATTGTACATCGACGCTTTGGGATCAAGTCTCTATCAAGTGCTAACTTCGTGGAGAAATGGCTCTTTTACCAGATCTCAAGTGAATTTGTTCCCGAAAAAAATTCTAGATGGGTTTGCTGGGCACAGGTTTATCATCTCTTTAGCACACCAGCCCCCATTCGTCATCAAAAAGTAAGTTTTTGGGGTAATTTTATAGTTTTGAAGTTAGTAATGGCACAGACACATCTACAGAGTAATTGATATCACATATAGCAAAAAATTAAAACAATACCTAGATATTGTAGGTATCGCCCAGTCCTAATTTAGGATATTTTATAACGTTTACAAGTGCTACTTCGAAGTGATACTCTTAATTTTTAGAGAACTTGACGAGAACAATGACATTCGTTGGGAGGGAATCGAAGTCCGTTTGGTCAACCTCTTATCAAAGACTTTTAATTTCACGACTGACTACCGCGAGGCTGGGCAAACATCTCAGCTTGGGTTGGTTTCTCAGTTTCTAGACAAGATTGTCTGAGAATATGGTTTTAGGTCTGCTGAGTCGGTCACGACGGTAATTATCCAAAATGGCGCCAATTTAGGAATCGGCGGTCTTTATATCACCGAACCTCGTATTAAAGCAACAGACGTGTCCCACATCCACTCTCAAGATTGTGCTGCTTTTATATCTCTAGCTTCGACGGCCCTTCCTCGCTATCGTGCTATTATGGGGCCTTTTCATTGGACCGTTTGGTTATTCTTAACTTTTGTCTACTTATTTGCAATTTTTCCGTTGGCATTTTCGGACAAACACACACTTCAGCATCTTTTGGATAAGCCCGAAGAAGTTGAAAATATGTTTTGGTACGTTTTTGGGACATTTACAAACGCTTTCAGTTTTTTGGGGAAAGACTCGTGGAGCAAAAGTGATAAGTTTGCAACAAGATTACTGATTGGTTTTTATTGGATTTTCACAATTATTGTAACAGCGTGTTACACAGGATCTATCATTGCTTTTGTAACACTTCCGGTCTTTCCGGAAACTGTCGATACCCCGGAACAGTTACTTAGAGGCAAATACACAATTGGGATTTTGGATAAAGGTGGCTGGCAACACTGGTTTGAAAATTCAAGCGATCCTATTATTGCGAAATTGCTAAAACGGACTGATTTTGTCCCAGATATCGAATCGGGGTTGAAGAACACCACGAAGGCATTTTTTTGGTCGTATGCCTTTTTGGGTTCTAGAGCCCAACTCGACTACATTGTTCGAACAAACTTCACCACAATGTAATTTTTTTCAAAACAGCAAAGATTGTTATAATTCACACTTGTTACAGGAACAAACGCTCTTTGCTCCATATAAGTTCCGAATGCTTCGTCCCTTTCGGTGTGAGCATAATCTACAATAAAAATGCCCTCTACAGCAAAATCATTGACCAAGGCGTCCTGCGAGCCGTTCAAAGCGGCATAATTGACAAAATAAAAAAGGATGTCGAATGGGAAACAATGCGTACCGCCTCTGGAAAACTCCTAGCAGCCAATTCCTACGGCAAAAACTTGAAAGCATTAAGTGTCGAAGACCGCGCTTTGACACTCAACGACACCCAAGGCATGTTCTTGCTTTTGGGAATTGGTTTTCTCCTAGGAGGAGCCTCGCTCTTGTCGGAATGGATGGGTGGATGCTTACATTTGTGTAAAGGAAGAAGAAACAAATCGGCAAAAAGTATAGAAAGTAACTATAGGTCACATGAAGTACCCACACCTCGAGAAAAGTTAAATTCATTACAATTTAACTCGTTTGAGAATCACAAAATTGAGGAAGATGTTGTTGAAGAACGCAACTGTATTATCCACAAACAAGACGAGGATGATATTGAGGAACACATTGATAAGCTTTTTGATTTTGAGGGAATTTTCGGAGAGGCCAACTCTGATAGCCGGAATGGCCCCGAAGAGGAATTGAGTGAAGAAAATGGAAAGAAATAAACACGAATCCAGAAAATAGACATTTATTATGTACACAGACTATGTATTTTGAATTAAAAATAAACACATCACTGTTATCACTAAGAAATGATGCGCCATTCTGGATGTTTTCCCACAAACTTTGATCTCACTTTCCTGGAAAATATAAAAATTACAAAAAATTTTGTCCCGGAAAATAATTACCAGTGGATGTTCATTATAGCATCCGGCTAATCTTCTGCGAGGAAGGTTGTTAAGGTCTAGTTTTTGACAAGGATAATCCGAACTATCATTGTAAACTATTTTGCGAGGCGAAGTCGAATAAACTTGTTTATTGGTTCGTTCCATCGTCTCATTAATTGCCACGAAAATTAAATTACTATAAGGTACTTTCTTGATGTAATAACTTCTAAAACTAAAAACAAAAATGTTTGATTTTTGCACTTTTTATATTTACCCGTGTCCAGATATTTCTCCCGGCAAATCGTAACTTTTGTTGTTATGCAACAAAAAAAATAAATCACGTTCTTGTTCACAGTCATAGTAGGTATCTTCTTCTTCTTGTTCGTCTTCTTCATCATCGCCTTTGTCTTTTTTATTCTCAATTTCGTCCTGAGCATAGGTATAAAAGGGTGCCCATAGATTACAAATATTGATTTCTAAAGCCAACCATGATATTTTCATCACGAACCAATTGACCAAAAAACGGACATAGTTGAGTGGCTAAAGTTACGTCATTAGACGATAAAAAAACAATTTTGATTATTTTTACAGTTAGCAATATAGTGGCATCACTTGTTTCATCATCTCTGGTGTTACAAACAGCCTGGTAGTCGTAAATTTTCACTTTTTCAAAAATCTTTTTATCCAACATGGACCCCATGATGTCACCTTCAATCTCCCCAAAAAATTTTCCCGTGTTTCTGACATTTTCCGAAACAATAATATAACCATCACTGTCTATTAGATAACAATTTAAATCAATACTGCACCTTCCACAATCCGTACATTCAATCTGGAAAAAATAGTTTAAGTTTCCCCCATTTCACAAACCTAAAACTTACTGAAACATTCGCAGTGATATTATGTACAATTTCCATGAAATTCTTATGCGCAAATTGGAACCCCACAACACACCCGGGGGCCATTTTTCCTGCATCCGTGGGAAAAACCGCATAACTCCCAGTGACTAACAAATCTTCTTGAAGCCCGGAATTAAAAGGTACGGAATAGACAAAAGACTCCGGGTCGTACCGATGTTGTATTACCGCACTTTTATACCACGTTTCGTCAATAGCCTCCGAGTGCAAGTCCCCAAACTCCCTCTCCGTGTTATTCTCAACCTCTTCAGAAATATACTCCCAGCGGGTCAAACCACTCATTGTAGCCACAAACCGAAGAGTGGCGTTAAAGCGGCGAAACAACTGGTCAGTGTCATGCTTCCAAGAGGTGCCCTGGAACGCCCCAAACGTATTCTTTGCGTCGAAAACCAGCCTTTGGACCAAGTCTTTGTCGCAGTAGTAGTCGTCGTTGCTGTGCGACCGGCGTCCACACTCCACTGAAAACCCAACAATTGTAAAACTCGGTTTTACACTCGCTTTTATCTATGTATCAAAAATAAAAGTATATGGTGTTTTTGGGTACCTTTTGTGAGCTCTTCTCCAGCTCCCACTTCGTACTGTCTCCTCCATTTGAAGTCATTTTCGTACACTTTCCCCAAAAAGTGCAATATTTCTTTCTCTGGAGTTTCGTATTCGTGGCCTTCCAAATAATGATACTTGCAGTAAACCCTAGAATTTGACAGTGGTGTCAAAAATTCGTATTTTGACTAATCACCATTTCGGATGAATTTTCCAGTTGGATCCGTTGAAATAGTCGGTTATTTTGACACCGGGTTTGTGTCTGTCGTTTTTAATTTCGTCTTCGACATGAAGGGAAAAATGTCCGTAACCATCGGGCACTGCAAAAGCCAGGGAAAAGGGTGTTTGGTTCAAGGGAACGTAATAGTAATCATATTTATCTCTTGTGACTCTCCTCATGTTATCATAGTGATATTTGACAGGAATGCCGTGGATACTCCCTTGTGACCCATTCACTATAGTATTTCTCAAGATTATTAAATCAGAGTGAAAGTTTCGAGGTTCTAGTTCAGTATCAAATTCTTCGACTTCGACTAGGTCAATACTGTTATAATTTTTGCGCAAATGCTTTTCAAACATGGGGCGAAAATCTTGATGCATTAAAATGTAACCATTATTGCTGACAATAAAGGCATAAGCATTGACCCCTAACTAAAAACCAGAGTTACCAATTTAACTTAACTGAGTTAAACGTACTTTATATGGCAAAGTCAGTTTTTCGATATCAGCGATTGGCACATCTGTACCAGCAACCCCCAACAAATTTGCAACTCTAGTTTCATTATTTTGATTGACTTTTTTATCAAACGCTGGGACCGCAGCTGAGGTCAATAACCGGTAAGGTTCGTTAATTTGATCGTCTTTTTTGTCGTCATACTGGAAATTTTGGTTAAGGAATTTACAACAAATACGATTTGTTTACCGTCATGTCAATGTAAGCGTGAGTCCACGAAATGGGGTGATCCTCAGCTTGGAGTACTAGAGGCCTTGCAATAACATTAATATATTGCAAAACGGCTGAAGTCACCTGTTCTAAAGTCTGTACTTGTGTGTGAAACCCTAAAAACTGGTTGAAATTATGAAATAAGTGCACCTGAAATTCTACCTCGGTTTGCGCAAGCCATCCATCGGATCTCCTCGACATTTGTGGCTTCTTTGCCGATTAGATACGTGAAAATTCGCACTGGTATTGTTTTGCCCCCATCAAGTTGATTGTTTCGTATTACAATATCGCTGAAATTTCGCGAAATTCCATCTGTTATCAGCATAATGGCTTGATTGCAAGCTTTGCTTCTGCCTTCTTCATCAACTTCTTCATTGTTACACTTGCGAATTTCTCGGTACTAGAATGGAAAAGTAAAAGAGGTTTTCGCATTGTGATTTACCAACGTTTTCCAAAATATCAAACGCCATTTGGAGGGCTTGAGGAAAGTCGGTTTTACCCGAAGGCGAAAATTCTTGGATGGCGTCTTTGAAAAGAATTATATTTTCGGGGGTCGCTTGAACTAATAAGTTTTTAAAACAAGGGATTGTGTAATTTGTTGTCTCGTTGCTGTAATAAAGGATGTTGATGTAGTCGTTATTAGAAAATGTGTCAAGGATTGTATTCACGGTTAAAGCTGCGATGTGTCTCCCCATCCCTTAAAAATATTTTTGGTTAAATGAATCTAAAAATTGCTTTCGTACCATCCATGGATCCAGAGTTATCCAACAATATTATCACATCTTTAGTACAAGTCGCAGCTTCGATGTACCAAGTCCTCACGCGACAATCAAATTCGTCCTTTTTTATGTCTGGCCATTTTTTGGCTAAAAAATTATTACTAAAAATTGGTTCAAAAACGAAAATACATTCTTCTAAAATAAATTATCGAAATCTTTTCAATTTTACAAAAATTTGAAAAAAATCTAAAATATAATAACTATTTGGAACTTTACAATTTTCTCTACTCCATTTCACTCCTCAAAACATTTTAAGCAACTATAGTTCAAAACATTCGATCTCCCCATAATTTTAGTTGTGAATTTTTTTTGGTACATAAAATTCACTGCTAAATATCTAGATATTTTGCGGTTAGTTTCATCGTCGTTTAAGTACACACATTTATTTTTCAAAATATTTGCTCTCTTTTTATTAAACATCGAAAACGTGAAGTTATTATGATCAACTACGCGAAAACTAAAAGTTTTCAAATAATAAATTATTTTGTTTAGTTTATTAAAGCCAAACATGTGTACAAATGTGTTAATTAACGAAATTAATACATTTTGCGCCACAAACCTGGATAATGTCTCATTATTCCGGAAGTGCTTCCGAAATATTGCCAAGACAGAGCCGGATCCGAGTTATAGTTTCGTACAAATATTTCGTCTAATTTTTCCGACCACTGGATTGCATATGCAGCTTCTTCGTCTAGTCAAATGTTATAATGAAAAAAAACAATTGCAATTTTCTACTTACGTCTATCAAAAATATTTGTTGGCACATGCACGGAACTGCGACTTGTGTCAACTGGTAAATTGTAAAAATGGGTATCATCGTTGAGAACCATTTCGAGGTACATGTTTTCATTGTTTTTGAGAGCTGGCGATAATTCTGCCAAGTCAATTTTTGACTCGTTCACAACATTTGAATATTTTGAGCTATAATATTTGTATTCCGAGTTGTTATAAACCCAGTATTGGGATAAGCTTTCGGCTTCTTCGATGATACACTGAAGCAACAGATTTTTTGGCACACAACAATAAAAAAAAAAACAAATCTACCTTAATAGCATCACTTTTCCTATCCATCATCCGTTCGATATCTTTCCCGACTTCAGATATTAAATTTTCTAAATCTTTTGTTTCAACTTGCGCATTAAGATAAACATAATTCTGAAAAACATTAAATAATTCTCCTCGTAAGTTCACATTTTCAAACAAATACTCCTTGTATCTCTTTAAATTTTGTCGTAACTTCCCCCAACTTCCACAGTTCGTCTCCAATTTTTTTAGCCCATCTTGAGACTCTAAAAGCACTATTACAGCCCTGAAAATCACTCAGCAACTACTTACTGTTCTTCTTGTAATTTACTACATTGAACAGTTGTCACAGTAAATAGGGATAATAAAAGAAACTCGGTAAAGTGTTTTTGCAAAAACATCATTTATTTTTATTCATTGCTACTGAATAAGACCTACTTTATTACGGTGGGTCTCGAAAATACACTGTTTTATTTTTAGATGGATTAGCTATCCTAGCCAAAGCTGATCGGAAAAATTTTTGCCAGCCCCACTCTTTTGCCATAACGACTATTTTTATGGCAGCGATTTCATCTTAACCAATAAACAAAGCTTTATTAGCTCACACGATCTTAATTATTTTTTGATTATTCTATTTTACACTTTAATCTCAAAAATGACGCCCGGTATGCAGGCAACCAGTTATACACCACACACGCACACAGCAATAAATATTTATTTAAAATCTGTCTATTTTTGCTTGAATTTTATGGTTTTGACTTACCAAACTAGTTTATGAAGAATTTAATGAAAGTGGTTAAGCTATTGTCACCAAAGCCACCATCTGGCCGTTAAAGCAACCTCTAAAAAAACAAACTTTTACAATTGAGGGATAGGGGTTTCTTTATCGCTGAAGGCCTAAAAAAATTAATTGCCTCTATTGCACCATAAAATTCAAGCAAATAGAGACAGACTTTACTAGGGACGTTTACACCAAACTTGGAAATAAAATACGCTGCAAAAATTGTCACACAACTTCATATTGTGTTTTTATAAATATTTGAATAAATCTTTAATTATTTTGCAACTAATTACAAAGATACGAGCTCCTTTATATTTGTTTTGTCTGTAATTACGAATTCAGTAAAAATAGGTTTTGAGGGAAAGCTGATATTTTTTCTGTAGTGAAAACCTTTGCAATGGATTCATTTGGAATGTAATTTTTGTGTTCCACTAATCCTAGATTATCAACAGTTAAATTGTGTAATAATGATAATAATTAGATGTGGTATAATTACCTACCGTTGTTCGATATTGCGGTCTGATATAAAATAGTCGTTTGCTAGTAACGCATGTGCATTCAATCCCTCATATCCGTTAAAATCAATATGGAGTTTAAGGGTGAATTCACAACGGGGTGTTTGGGGGTATCACTGTAATATTTCTTGCATGACCTCAACCTGCGTCGCGTTGTCCTATTTTTGTTTAAGGACATAATAAATTTTCTTGTGTAAAAGCGATAATTAATCGCTCACATGGAAAATCGTCCTTGTGAAAATAAACAATTCGATTAGTTGGTATTTACGTAATGTTTCAGTTGCTTTAAATATTTAGCATTGGTCGCGCAAATATTGCGTCTCTTGAGGGTTTAAATAAAAAAGGGTAACATGTATATTGAATGAATAAGCTTCGTTTCAAAGAATTTTATTTGATGACATTTTTACAGGCTTAAAATGTAACTATATTAAATCTGAAAAACAAAAATAAAAAATTTTGGACTATCATAAGTCAGCGAAAATGTGACTTATGCAAGCCTCAAGTCAAGACAGTATTCTGCTGTCCCCTCCAACAACCATTATCAGCTAGAATCTGACCGTTTTTACATGTCACCTTTTTTACTACAATTCTTAATACAACACGTAACATAGCAATTAAGAGAGAACATAATATTACATGTAGTTACGTCCGCACTTTGACAATCAATCCAATTGAAAAACACCTAGTAATATAATATAAATAAAACAAAATCGATTTTGAAAAATTTATTGATATCAGACAAATATACATATTTGCCAGATACAACAGAAAACAAGTAGAGCTGATAGCAGTTTATTTTAATACATATTCATACATTTATATATAGCACATCCAAAGTGAGTTGACGGTAAACAAGGGGGGGAAGGCAGATACGGCCCATGCAGCGGAGTGCAAAATAATTTTGTGGACTAAGGTACAGGCTTTTTTTAATGTATAAAGAGGTATAGGTATGATTTATTTTTTGGAGATTTCAACAATGGACGAATACAAAAAATATAACTAAAAACAGTGTTATTAAATAATAATTTTAATAGTTAACAAGTTAGAAATTAAAAATTACTGAAATTTCAAATAAATTACATTTATGGAAAAAATGAAACACTAATTACAAAATAAAGAAAAAAAACATAAAAGAAAAAATTAATGCAATGCCAAGAAATACACTGAACCACACAACTTCCGGTAAATTTGATCAATGATGATTTTTTACTTAATTAAACTTATTTGTGGCTGACATTGTTTTGGTTGTGTGAAAATGTAATTAAATTTTAACGATTTACACATCTCCTAAAAACATTGTTAAATATCAAGTTTCATCAGGTGAAACTTTGCTTAAAACTGTCAATGAAATTTCACAACCAAGTTCCACGAATACGTTAACTTACATGAAACTTCATTTTTAACGAATAATTTTAAAACGGACGCCACACTTCAATTATCACCAGTCTCTTGAGGCTCATCCGCTTCGCCCTATAACAAAATCCCCAACGAAATGTTAGAAATCTTAAATTCTTTTAACATTTTTTTAACATACCTGCGTGTCACTTGTCCAGAGTGTGAGGTTGTCTCGGAGGAGCTGCATTATGAGAGTGCTATCCTTGTAAGAGTCTTCATTTAAGGTATCGAGTTCTGCTATTGCGTCATCGAAGGCCTAAATCGACATTTCGAGTATAAATGCTTTTATAGAAATACGATCTTAACAGACTACTCGGTTATTTAGTTAGTATTGCAGGCTGAATTACATGTGGTAAGTGTTAATTCAACCGGTTAATTAGAATGTAAAAAAACACACTAATAGTAACACATTTATAACCTGTTTTGCGAGATGACAGGCTCGTGCTGGAGAATTAATAATTTCATAATAAAACACCGAGAAATTTAAGGCAAGTCCCAGCCTAATCGGGTGTGTCGATTGCATTTTCGATTTAGCAATATCGAATGCTTCTTGATACGCCTTTTGTGAATCCTCCACCACTTCTAGTAATAAAAAGCGAACAATTATTAAACTGTCCACAATCGAACAAACGTCTAATTAAAAACAACAAAAATTAAAAAAAAACAGATCCACCACATGTAATTCCGCCCTTTGTGCTATAGACACTAAGGAAACAAAATATATATTAACCTGTTTAGCTAACTGACAAGCCTTGTCTGGTGAATTTAATATCTCATAATAGAAAACGGAGAAGTTTAGGGCAAGACCTAATCTGATGGGATGTGTGGGCGTCATTTTTGCCTTTGAGATTTCAAAAGCGTCTTGGTATGCCTTTTGTGAATAATCGACGACGGCTGAAAGCGGGCTATAGTAAATAAGAAATCCACATAACAGCCAATAGGGAACTTGGTAAAAAAAAACCGCCGCGAAAAAATTCCATAATAAATCAATTCCGTTATGTAACAACAATAAATCATACATATTTAAGTGTCAATCACCGTAACTTACCCCACACAAACATAAAATTGGTTGGAAATTAAAACAAGTTCCCCATTGTTGTTTATCCTTGTCTTAAATTCCAACAAATAAAACACTTACCGTTTCTTGTGTCTCCTGTGGCTACTTCGGCCAAATACCGGTAGTAATCTCCCTTCATTTTCAAGTAAAAAACTTTTGATTCAGCGTTGCTTGCTTTGGGGATCAAGTATTTATCAAGAAGACCCTATAAGAAAAAAATCCATGTGCCCCAAATACTTCTTTAATGTGATTTTGTTTTAATTGAATGCAAAATCAGTGTAAAAAATGTCTTCAATATGATTCAGAAGAACGAAAGTTATTTATTTTAACATCATTTGAGTCAGAATTTTGTGAAGGTTTTTGAGGGTACTTACGAGGACGTCGTCACAGATCTCCCGTAATTCTTTTTCGACCTTTTCTCGGTATTCTTTGGCCATCTGCTGTTTGCGTTCTGAGCCCTCAGTCTTTTGTTCAATTGAAGAAATAACTCTCCACGACGACCTCCTGGCACCAACGACATTCTTGTACGCGACAGAAAGGAGGTTTCGTTCTTCATTGCTCAATTCTACTCCGGTTTCTGTGACTGATTTCATAGCCGAAGCCATGTCATCGTACCTTTCGGCCTGTTCTGCGAGTTTTGCCCTCTGCACTAGCTCATCTTTGTCAGGGACAGACATTTTGCTCTAATTCTAAATCTAAACGAGAAAACTGATGTTATTACATCACGCCAAAACCGGCAAAAGACCAAACACACGACACAGTCACACAAATTAAATTTCCCACCTTTTAGCAAAAATCAAATTGTCTAAATTTAGAACGCGGTTTAAGTCAAGCGACTTCGCTACTTCCACCCCCTATGTGTCGATAAAATGGTGAAAGAATCTAGCCGGCTCGGATCGACAATATGGCGTCTGCCACACCTTTCCGTGTAATGCGTAGTTAACGGTGGGTTTTTCCCCAAAAACCGAACCGAAAACCCCCCAAAACGAACTATTTAATACCAAAAACCCGAAATATTCCAATGCCAAAAAACCTAATCGAGTATCGCGATCGTCAAGTGTCACTGCTCTATATTACCAGCCGACCCGACATGATACATCCCAAAGGAATTTCAAAAATTTTCCAATTCGCCCCACGACAGGCTCGAAAAGTGACTCAATGAGGCAGAAACAGCCCCCGATTGGGGTAACATAGCGGCGGCGTCGCGTTATAACGAAAAAATCGAGTCTCGCGCTGAAGGTCATTGCATGGCGATTTCATTGCACCAAAATGAAGCACGTTGCGGCGTTAATCGGCGGGAATTGAGGCAAAAGACACGAGAACAGCACTTTTCAGCGATTACAAGCACAACTTACATTAAAATTCAACAATTTCAGTTAATTTCTCTTTCAGCTTTGGCCGAAGAGTGCACTAGCATACGAGACAAGGACTAGAACACGACTACTGGATCGATGCGAGCTCGCGAACAAACGATAGCGCACAGATTTAATGGCGGCGTTTCAGCGACTCCTCGGACCGGAATTTTCGATACAATTCACAGGGTTGTGCAGCTATTTGGGCACCAAAACCAACGACTTTTCGCAAAAAGACAATTAATACTACTTTTACTCACGTGCTACAAGGGTTGATTACGATTTTTTGATAGAAAAATGGAACGATCCTACCACTAGCGTCCACAACTTAGAAACGAGACGGAGAAACTCGACAGGGAGCTTTTCGCTTCGGTAAAAAAGGACAGCCAATACGTACCAACCACGAAAGTGAAATTCCCCAATTTTTGACAAATTTAAAATTATTATCTTCTACGAGATCACCGGTTTTGTAATACAGTCATGATTCATGGACAATTTTTAATTCTAATTAAGGCGGTGCTCAGTACATAACGTACTCGGCCTTCATTCATGATTCTATTTTCACGTTTCAGGGAAAAACGAGTAGCAAAATTATTATTTTTTGTTGGTCATTACGATAATTAAACTGTCAATCAATTCGTCCTTAATTTTATTATTCAAGATCTAACAGGCAAATAAAACAAATTACGTTTTATTGGTGTGAATTTTTACACATATACACAAAGGTGAAGTGTGAGGTGTATTGTTTCTCCAGTCAGAATCCACAAATAAGCCAATACATATGTATATCAATTCGCCAGGAGGGAGTGTGACTGCAGGATTAGGAATTTATGACACCATGCAATACATATTACCACCAATTTTATTATTCAAGATCTAACAGGCAAATAAAACAAATTACGTTTTATTGGTGTGAATTTTTACACATATACACAAAGGTGAAGTGTTTAACGGTAACAAAATAAATAAAAGCAGTGGCGGAGCCAACAATCTGCAGTTTCGCATCTCCTTATCTCAAATTAATTAATTATTTTCCCTTAATATAAAAAAATTGTTATTGCGATAAAAGTTTTCACAACACCCGTTGTGCGCATTTGTAAAGTGATCTCTGCATTGTTTTGTCTAAGTATCAACGAACATTTCGTTATAAATTAAAAAAAAATCATGTGTGAGAACTTAAGCTTGGACAATGTACATAACGTCATTTTGTTGTTAATATTTGCGTACATTATTACGTAATATTTGTCTACGGATGATTTTGTTTCATTTTGACGGGAAGTTGCCATAAATATTTGTTACGCCTCTGATTAAGTTGTAATTTGCATTTTGCACGTAAAACTATTCAACATTTGTATTAAAATTAACTATAATAAAGTATATGTTTGTTCAACTTGTGTAGTATCACACTGTAATGGAAATTTATCTGACGACATAGCAATATTTTGTAAAATTTTTACTAATATCGGTGCTTTTTTAAATATTTGAAAATAGCTTTATTAGACACTGACTCATAACTTACAATGCTATATTACTCATATCTGCAATCACATTTTATTTTAAATTTAAATTGAAAAATCGGAAACGTTTTAGTGTCTGTCTATCTTTAATCATTTAACAAACTGTAAGACTCAAAAATACATAAAAAGATTATACATAAAACATAAAACATTATTACAATCACGTCTATTTATAAATGTTGAAGTTTGCGTTCAGTTCACATACATATTTCATGATATTCCTCAAAAATATAAGGAAGAGGATGAAAGTCCTTGACAAAGAAGGTTTATATAAAATTTTTAAGTACGTAGCGTGGAATACAGATAACGAGATTAACTCAAAAGATAGATTATTTTGTTGCATGACGGTAGTTAATTGATACAAAAATAAATGAAAATCACCTGCTAAAATTGTACTTCAGTTTCTGTGTATGAATTATGACGAAAATAAATTGAGTTTATCTATTATCGGGCTCAATTAGTAATCAACGTAATTAGATATTAGCTGGCGTAAAGCAGATGAGACTTTTATCAGTTCAATGTTTCCTATATCTGCTACACCTAGCAACCACATTTACAAAACTGACAAAGAAAGCACAAAATATGTGCTGCTCCAAATAATTATGATATAATAAATTATGAAAAAAATAAATAGTACTTGTCAGCACAGATGTCAGTGTTAACGAACGCTACTGACTAGTGTATAATTGGTTGCATAAGTTTAATAATTGTCAGAAAGTGGTTTTAATAATTTTTCTAAAAGGAATTGTATAAAACGACACAAAAACGTTACTCCAATCATAAATTAATGCCAGTGACAAAAAACATCAGAAAAGCGTGTTTGGGTACAGTTCTTAATTTCACAAGTTTTGAGGTTAGGTGAGGTATCAAGATGTTTTCAAGAATCATAAGTAGGAGTAAAGTAAGTCAATAAATTGTTAAACTACTTGTTTGATTTAGTTCTGATTTTAGATTTTATTGAAACCGCCAGAATTAGCACAACCATTCAGAAATTTCGGTCTTGTCCCAATTGTGATTGAACAAACAGGGCGAGGGGAGAGATCTTACGACATATATTCCCGTTTATTGAAGGAACGGATTATTTGTTTAATGGGACCGATAAATGACCCAATGAGTTCACTTATTGTAGCCCAGTTATTGTTTCTCCAGTCAGAATCCACAAATAAGCCAATACATATGTATATCAATTCGCCAGGAGGGAGTGTGACTGCAGGATTAGGAATTTATGACACCATGCAATACATATTACCACCAATAGCAACTTGGTTTGATTCAGTAGCCGACAGTTTGAAATTGAAACTAAATGTCGAGTTTTAGGTGTGTGGGACAAGCTGCAAGTATGGCTTCACTTCTTTTAGCAGCTGGAAGCCCGGGAATGCGACATTCCTTGCCTCATGCTAGGATCATGATCCATCAGCCCTCAGGGGGCGCACAGGTATCAAGTTTTGGAGCTTTAGGCAACTTTTATTACAAAATAAATTACTTACACGTGTGGACAGTTAAATCGTTCATTTATTAAAAAATAGAGCTTAATTTAGACTTAAATAACAAGATATAATGTTGATATTTTTTATTACAGTTAACAAAAATAATGAGGGTTAATTATTTGAGTAATTAATAATCTCATTAGCATATCATTAATGTTTTTATTTTGCGTATTACATTTGATTAAAATGAAACACTTCATTTAAACCACGTAATATTTTTCTGAAAATTCCATGTCTGTTTATAGGGGCAGGCAACCGACATTAAGATCCAGGCTGAAGAAATTCTTAAATTGAAGAGTCAGATTAATAATTTGTATGTAAAACATACAGGACTTCCTTTGGAGAAAATCGAGCGAAGTATGGAACGTGACATGTTTATGAGTCCTGCTGAGGCTCAAAATTTCGGTATTATCGATAAAATTTTAACGAGTCCGCCGAAAAATAAAGTGGGCGGCGGTGAAGACGAAGCGAGTGCCAGTAGTGATACGTCAGAGAAAAAATGATTTCTTTATTTATTTAATGGTTTTATACGTGATTGTTAGTTTATTGGTTGAATAAAAAACACTTAGATGCAAAAAGACTGTTTTAATATAGAATATTTTAATTATATAATGAAATACATATTTAAAAAAATCTTATATAATATTGCAAATGATAACATTGTTCATTAACTTATCATTTAATTCTGATAGTTATAGAATACTCTTACATTGGATAAAACTACATGTAGAGAGCTATCTTACTTAAGTCTAAACTAGCCTAATATCATGATAACATGTATGCAACAGACTACAATTGTTGCATACGAGCAATAAATTACTTGAAATATACACGACTATGATTTAGTCATTCAGTACCATGTGGAATGTTGGGATTATAAATATTCCCATCCTAATTTATGGAAGAATCAGTTAATCGTACCCAAAATAACTTTGATTTTTGAGGAAGGTTGTTCGAAAAATTATACTATGATAAAGCATAACTCAGGTACTTATAATTTTTGCGAAATTCTTCATACTCGCAATATGAATGTCTGGGCTACAATGTATTCTTATCACAATAAGGAATGTCTCTATTCTAGGTCATGGCTTGATCTATGTACATGTCATAAAACTCTAATCTATATACAATGAGTAATTTCGTTATTCCCAACCCTCAGATCATTTACATGATTCAATTTTGAGATCATTGGTCAAACTCGACCAAATAGTGATGGAAAAACATACTAACAAAGAAAACATCTAAAAAAGAAAACAATAAAATAAACATTGATCCATGTAAATAAAATTTCAATATTACATTGAGTCATTTTTTATATTATTTGATAAATAAAAAAGAACATTGGATGTTAATGATCAATTTTATATTTTATAAATAAAAGATCATAAGAAAAATAAAAACAACACACTAACAAAAGTGATAAAAATGATTGAGTCTAAATACTATGAACAATTATAAAATTCTACAATAAAAAAATCTATAAGTAACTAATATTACATTGTATAAAAACAATCACAAAAGTAGATGAATAAAAAACGGAGAGTACGTTACTTTAATATATGGCAATTGTTTCAATGGTCAGAGAGTTCTACAAAAGTAATATCAAATAGGTCTTCTTCCACGATCTTAAGCTCGAGCAAAAAAAGGTCTTCGTTGCAATAATACGCCACCATATCGTCATCAATCTTGGCCGTAATGCTGGAAAAAACCACCAATTAAAACCACAAATTAATTAATTTTAAAATTTTAGTGTTAATAAAGGCGGACTGTTAGTGTTTAGTATCAAGTTCACTCTTCACAAATCCTCCAACTTTAAAATAAAATCTAACTTACCCTTTTTTGTTTTTGCGATACAAGTTATTTATGCTCGAAGCGCTTATTTTGTACTTATTCTCAATCTGCAAAATAAGGAAAACAGAATTAATTTTCGAATGCACATTTCTGTCTTTCTTCATTTAGCATAGATTTAGAAGAAGTACTGAGCTTTTTGACTTCTACGTGGAGTTAGCAAAAGTGAACTGATCCCACGTTCGCGATTTGTTAAATCCCATGCCAAGTTTAGTTTGTTATTTTCCGATGATGGTAAAAGCCCAGTACGTCCAGGTCCATGCATATTAAGCACCAAGCTAAGCGTTATGAGTGGGCTCACTAGGGGGTGCACAATTACTGATACATCAATAACAATATTGACATATCAAACGATACAACAAAGAATCTATCGATACATCATCACTTTTTTGAATCTCAAATGTTTGCCAATGACTGCGCATGTCAAGTACCACCAACCCAACTAATGACATATCGATATTTCGCCCTTTAGCCCTAGCTCTGACTTACCGCATTGAGCAGCCCCGCCGTGGTAGGCGGCACAACATGCAAGGGTGTGTAGACATCATCCACTTCCTGGCGCACGTATAGCATCACCCTCTCGTGCAGGGGTGGCGGCCCCGCACTACCTGGCCCCGTCAGCATCTTGGTCCTCTTCAAAGGGGGAGAAAAAACGCTCCCGTCAGTTGTCAAACTATTATCCAAAATATTGTCTTTCTTATCGGCGTCGGGAGGAAAGTGGTTGTGGAATTTGAGCGTGGGGGTGGTTGGGGGTTTGGTGGCGGCATGCAGGAGGAACGGCGAGCCAGATTTATGATCAACTGGACCCGTCAAAGAATTGTCAGTGTCGTGAGGATAAAAACCTTGTAATTCCATCGACGTCAACTGGAAACAGTCAGTCATACGGAGCACACAATGGGGTAACCCTCACCTTGTCGATGTCTTCGGCGGGGGAGAACAACACAGGGGGTTTTGTTAAGTCGCTCATTGAGTAAAATTCAGAGCGTTCGCACATGGGGTGGTACAATTCGTCAAGTTTTTTTCGACCAGTAGCGGTCATTTTTCGTTTTGCTGCTCTTCGTTCCTCGTCACGGGTTTTGCGTTCCGCACCCTTTGGTGATGACAGAAATTATTCAAAATTGTCAACAGGGATGACCTGACTTGACTTACCTTATCACAAAATACTTTTATTTGGCAGTAACCGCGGTGGTAAACGTTTGTATCTCGGGGGTCTTCGTATGTGTCGATTTGTAAATGTAAAGGTAAACCTTTAACGCCTTTTTGGCTACTAAAGTCGGTACTTAAACATTGCACTGCTATGTTTATCTAGAAAAAGTCTGGGGGTAAGTTTTTATTTTTGAGGGGTGGTTTTTTACCTTTGCGGGACTTTCTAACGGATTCCAATAGATGGCTATAGCGTTATGTGCTACTTCTTCTATACAACCAACTAAACCCACGCTATTTTTCGTATCTATGGCAAAGAAAATTATGTTAGAAGGATTCACTTTGCAGAAAATTGACTTACCGAAGTAATGTCAGCATGAAAAAAAAGAAATGCAAAATATTTTATTTAAGGTTTTTATGAATCAGTGTTATTATGTATATTATCCCCCACACACACATGTTTGAAGAACAATATAGTATCAATACTTCCCACATTCAGCCTACACTTTGTAGCAATAAGTAATTCGAACAGGTCAAAAAGATATCGGGTACTTATATGTATATTTATTACAAGATTACAGAATCTGAATTTGGAGGGTGAATATCTTTAAGAGTCATAGACGACAGGAAGCATTAATTTAAATACAATTTGTGTATACCCATTTGCAATAAATAATTTTCTATAAGTGAGTAAAGACAAAATAAAAATCTTCTTGAGATAAATGCGAATATTCCTCAGTTACATGCAGACATATTTACTTGTCTGCAGGTGGACGTTTGACCTTTACAGAGCATCACATTAGCAATTTATATTTAAATGAAGCTACTATTTATTCGGCTATAAAATAACTTTCATGAAATAAAATAAATAAAAATACTTGGCGAGCTTTTGTTGGTTTGTTTTTAACACGAACGTTCGATACGCAATCAGATTGTGCGCAGAGAATATGAAAAAAATTGGGTTAAGCCGACGTCTTATCAGATAATTAAGGTGGTAATTAATGGTAGCAGTTACTGACCTGCATCTAAAATTCGTTGTTTAACGGAATGTTGACGGCCGTGCCAAAACTGCCAGGCTTTGATTTCGTCTTCGGGGCTTTTCTCTTCTCGGAACATCAGCATTACAATGCTCTGAAATAAAAAAATAAAAATGCTAAAAATCCAAAAACACGATTTGATCAAAGTGGTACGTCTAGACGTAACTAAAATTCCCAAAAACCGTTAAAAACAAGTGTTTCAAGCTTTTAAAGTAAAAAGCAATTGATTTTTCTAAAAATACATATACAGGACTTCATCAAAGTGCTGTTTAAACAAATGGAGACTTCTCAAATTGTGTTTTCACTTCTTCACTTTCAGAAACGGTCAAAAAACGATTGTTTTTATAGAAAAATGCGCCAAAAATTGGTGTAAAGAGTTAATTTTGAATCAATTCTGGTAAAAATCTTTTAGGGATCTACCAGTTGGATCAAGCCTTGGTCTTAATAGAAACCAAGAAGTGCCACCTGAAATTTAATTGGTACTAGGAATAAATGCCGAGGTGAGGAGTGATAAGGGTCATTTAATTCCAAGGTTGATCCCAATTAACTTACTAAATTATATCATTTACGCAAAGAAATCATTATAGACGATGCAATCATAATAAAACAATTACACTGATTGATTTTAATTACGTGGCTAGGTATATACACCTCAGTTTTTCGTTGTACTGAGTTCTAGTTTTTCTTAAGAATCTTGTTATTGATGCAGTCTAATAAGGGAGTGCTTAATTGGATTTTACACGGGATGAATAATTCGTCTGATATCAGTTGGTTATAAAAGATTTATTTTAATTATTAGTTTTTTTATGGTTGATGCTTATCAATTTTTACTCTATAAATGGTCTAGCACTATACAAGGCTATGCACTTTGTATCGACTCATTTATATGCAAATTGAATACAAATATCACAAAAAACCACTAAACTCTGTAAACACATTAACAGCACAAGTTAGCCACAATATTTTTAATATGAAAACGATTCCGAGTCCTTCGATCCTGTCATTATTGCCAGCCCTCACGGTTGAGAATAATGTCATTCAGAAGAAAGTCAATGACCGTTTAAGTTTTAATCGTCTTTAGATAAACCAGTCCTTTTAAGGTAAAAGGCGCGTCATTTAATTATTTGACAGAAATAAAACGATGAGATTTTTTCAAGAAGCGTTCTAATAAATTATTGTCATTTAGTCTCATAACTTATTTATGCGCTGCCGCATTATATTAACATTTCTTCTATAACATGCAAAATGTTTACAAACTACCCGTCAAACATATGCTTGAACTTCTAGCTCCATTCCTATGGAAATGCGTGACTTCACTTGATACATCTCATTACACTTCTGTGTAATTACTGATCTTACTAAAAGTATTTGCATTGTCCGCCATATCGACCAAAATAAAAGAGAAAATTACATTTAGACAGATTTCTCTGCATCACTATGCAGATAGATATTATGCATTTGAAGGACTTTCTACCTATTTCTAGCCAGCAAAATGAGGAAATCTAATACCCTCCAATTTACTCTTTATTTTTGACAATTTTATTACAACTGATGCCATAATTGCTACGCTCACATTTGCACAGATGGAATCATTGCCAGACAGCACGATCTTGCCATTAAGCCCAAAAAATTGCGAATTTTGCAAAATTTTTACATAATTAAACCACGAAAACAATCGTTAATAAGTTTGAACAACTTTTTATAAAATTTAAGCAAAGTGCAAATGAATTTTCTATACAGTAGGTACTTCGAATAATGAGTTATTTCATAACAAACGTTATTGTTAGAAGAAGATGCGATAATATCAAAGTCGTTACACAAACAAAGAAAGAAAATAACAGATCATTTAAAACGTAATTTATCATTATGAAATATGACACATTGAAAATGTTTTTTTTAGACTAAAAGAGTGTGTTTTTTTGCGTTTTAGTGGTTACTGATTAGTAATTAAAAAAATGTTAATCATTGTTTATGTCGAAGTAAATTAGGTTTGAAATTTGGATCGATAAAAAGTCGATTGCGTGATCGGTTCGAAGGGTAGAAATAATGACAAAGTAGTGAAGTAATAATTTTTAATAATGGTGTTTCGCTCTCATATTAAAAATGGCCAATTAAAAGAATAGTGTCCGGACTTTGATCAAATTATAAGTTTGTTATAATTTGCGCACATTAAATTACGACCTTAGCGAGGGTTGACAGTTCATTTACTTAAGAATGCAGGCTTTAAGTGCTGTTACAATGTAATCGATAAGTATAGCGTTATTATTTGTAATTATTCCGGGTGATTAATAAGTCGAGTGTTAATTAGTATAATTAGGAATAATTCCCTTGTCAAGTGTTTGTGCGTATGGTTTTATGGTCTTATTAGAAAGATATTCGTCATGCGTTAGATGTGGAGATAAGTCTTTACGGCATGACCATAAGTGGTAGGATGTCACGAGACTTGTTTTTCGGCCAAATTCTGTCCCAGTAATTGGCTGTTAATTCTTTCATAATTCCATAATTAACTTAAGGAAACCATCCCATATCGAGACACGCTCATTACATACAAAAATCCGTCGATTTATCTGTTTGAAGTGAGTGTTCGCTCGCCCCTGTTCTAGATATTGTATTCTTACCTTTACTGTTTGCGATTTGAGCTGCTTGTCAGGGTCTGGGATATAGTCTAGAGTAATTCCGTAAAATTGGCCTTTGTTTATGTACGTGATCCTGTCGTCTTCGCGCCTTTGCGACGTCGAAATCGGCGTTTCCAACTGGTACTTGAAGCCCACCGGCGAAAATCTGGAACAATTCGCATTAATCAAATTTGTGAAAAAATCCAGTCAGTTGTCAAACAGGCTCTTTGATAGTATTACAACTGTGACATAAGGCACTCGTATCAAATGACACTGCTCGAATCGAGTTTATCCAGTTCATGGCAGTGGACTATATCGCGAGGTCACTCGACCTGATCTTTCCTGTTCCTCAAATACTCACATTTTTGGGATTTGGATTTTATCCGCGTCGTTTTGACGGCCGAAATCGTGCCAAGGCCGACTTCGGCTCGTCGACTGAGATCCAGGAGATTGCGAACTCGAACTGTTCCGTTGCGAAATCGTCAAAGGGTCCAAAATGTTCGGATTCGGACAGATTTCTGGGTACTCGTAGTTCTGAAACAAATGCCACTTTTACGACCTCGGATATCTTAGACAAATAAGGACTACTATGACGCAATTTATGCCACTGGCGGAATCGCAAGGGGAATAACCGCGAAATGTATGCACTTACGACAAATCTTCAATCTTTTGCTCCCATTTCGGGAAAAAATCATACAACTATGCCAGATGGCTTTGTTATGATAGAAATAAACGGCAACTACGTTAGTTGCCACCATCAGATCTCAAAACGTTTTGTTTTGGAATTTAGGAAAGGATGGGGACCAAAGCAGGACCTTGCGGCACACCTGGCCCAACAGGATAGGTATTATAAGGACTTGTTTATCTTAACAACGCGATTTTTTCACTTCTGTAATTACCCGCTGCAAATTGATCCTATAATACCTGTTTTCGCAACCTTGCTATTTTCAAAAATTGGTTTATTAAAACGATAAAGTGAAAAAAATTAAATAAAGCGCGTTTTCGAATTATTCAAAGTACATAATCCCTTTTAAAATGACTTGCCTTTATATTAAGAAAGGAATCAAACATTTCTGTTAAGATAAACAATATTTTTTGTCAAAGTTGTACTTCTTTAATTAGAGATTCTCATTTTTTCCAGAAATTGACTCAATTTTGAAGTCTGAGATTTAGAAAATGTTTTTTGTTTTCAAAAATAATTTTGATGAAACGTAGAAAATTAAAGCTTATTATTAATAGTAATAATTATTCTTAAAACATTTTTTTAGCTCAGCTCACTGCTCAATAAAATTAGGTTTTAAAGTGAATAATCTACGATTTTATGGTATTTGAAGATTCAATAAGTTATTTATATTTTTTTAAAAAAGACAAGATATTGTGTTGGATATTTTTTTTTTTATAGAAAAGCTAGAATGTGTAATAAACGACCAATGAGCTTTGGTTTCGCTAGCTATGGACTAGTTTGGGTGTTGGTGGTGGCGTTTTCGGGTCTGTCTGTGGGCTCACCTGTTGCAAGGTGTTCTGGTCGCGTGGGGTGATGGCGTCGGCGCCGATGCCGCTGTCGGGACTGGGCAGGTCGACAGTGAGTCCGGCGGCGGTGGCGGCGGCGATGACGCCCTTGCTGTGGTAGGGCTGTCGGACGTATCGCTCGACGAAACTGGCGGTGGTGCCGCCGCCGACCTCCTCACTGTAGGCCTGGGTCTGGCGCAGCTGTCCCGAATAGGCGGGCTCGGGGGTGGCGCCTCCGGAGGCGACCGTGAAGTACTCGCGGTAGTACGGATCGGAGACAAACGCCGCCGCCGAAGTGGCCGTGCGGCTGGCGGCGGCGTAGCCCGAGCCACTCTGCGTGTAGCCGGTCACGTGGTCGCTGTAGGGGATGGGCGAGGGGGTGCCGCTGCCCCCGTGACCGTTATTCGTCATGGCGGCGAATATCTGTGTGGCGTACATGGCCGGCTTGATGCCATCCGAGGCCGAGATGAACTCGATGGGTCCCGTGTTGGAGCCGTCGGCCAACAAGCTGCTGTGGCTGTGCTGCGACGTCGGCGTTGCGTTTACGCTACGGGAACCGTGCTGGGGCGAGTTCAGGCCCCGAGGGTTATTTTCGTCCTTCACTGAATTCACATCCACCACCAGGTCTCCGTGCTGACCTCCCGCAGAGGATACCAGCACGACCTATAATAACCAACAACAACACTCCAGATATCTCTTACGATTCGGTTTGCTTGCTACTTCAACTCAAATCCCTAATCCGATCCATTACAGACCAGGAGACACTTTCCGCCACTCCTCAAACCCTCAATCATTCTACCCTACTCTCCCCTACTAACTCACAACCACTGCGCATTAATCATACAAACCTACCAGCTGTAAAACAATCATCTACAAAGAGTTGAATTCAAAAATCACACACTTATCTATAGGTAATGAAAATTTATCTCGATCACAAGTTGCAACAGAATTAACCACTCGTTATCTGAAAAAATTGCTTATATTATACTATCTAAACCTACTCGCGACATTTAGTAGTTCATGGTGCTTCAGTAATAATAATAAAAATTGATTACGTAATAATAATAACATAAAATTTTTCGAAATATTTTTACGTCCAATTTTAATTTTGATTAAAGAGAATTAATTAAGAGATTAAATACAAAAAAAAACAACAAAATTAATGGTGAATTGACAATATTATTGTGGTTCAAAATAATAATAAATACCTAATTCAAATTTATCTAACTTTTAATTGTTTTGTAGACAGATTTTGATTTACATTTTATCATTTCTTTCTAAGAGAAAAAGTAGTTTTTTATTACCAGAAAATTATTTTTCTACATCGAAAATTGGAGTTTGGTGGGCTCTTTCGTATCTAATAAAACTGTTTCTTGTAAGATAAAACAATTTTTAAATATACATCTTTTAACATAATATAAAAATGTGTACTTTTTTAGCTACAAACATTTTAGTGTGAAAGAATTAGTAAAAAAAATTAAAAATCAAATATTTTTTTCTTGCAGTTTTTACACCCCTGTTTAAAATCGAAAATAATTTTGCCAGTAATCAACTAATTAATTTCAAGAATGTTAAAATTACTCCGTAATTAATATTATTATTATTCTGAATTTACTATAGATAGAGATGAAATATTGTTACATGAAGTTTTCTAGTTGATTTTTTTTATTAAAATAAATATATGTGTATTTAATTCATTTATTAGGATTTAATATCAATGGTCAAATTTGAAAAAAATTATTAAAGATATAATTATTATGCCCAACACAAAAAAAAAATTTTTAATGAGTGACTTGACGCCAAAACGTGACTCATTTTTTACATGAAAGTTAAAATTGCTAATATTAAAATTTTATTTATTGAATTTTTGTATAAAGAAAACTCTAAAATAAAATTAATTCTTCAATATTGATGGTCTAGATGTGGAGTGGACATTGTAGAAAACTTGCGGAACTAAGTTTGAAATTAAAATGAAAAAGAAATCAAGCCTTTCGTAATCGGTGTTAAAAAATTAGCAATGAAAAAGGTGTGTACTTGTTTGAAGTAACATTCTTCCTCCAATTGAGAAAGTTAATAAGAGCATTTCCGGTATTATCAGATAACTTGTCGTCTGTTGCATCACTTAACAAGTAAAAATCTAGTTTGCTGCTTATCACAAATATCAGAATATCTACCTTGGTGTGATTTCCGTTAGTCACAAGTTGAATAAAAATGTGGATTTTTGAAGGTTTGAGTTCGGAGTGTCCTTTAGTCACTACATCATGCATCAATCAACCACTACATTAACATTGGTCATCAACAAACAGAACTAGATGAATTTTTCTAAATAGTAAACTGCCGCTCGAGAATGTCCTCAAGTGATATCATTCCTGAGCTGGAGTGTCCCGTTCCCGGTTTCGTCCCCGTCCCACCCTCACGTGTCACTGTTTAAGAAGAGGCGAGCGAAAGACAGACCCGTCAGCGCCACTACTCATGTTACCACCTAAACACTATTCACCTTGTGCCTCTGTTGCTTGCTGTTGATGATGGACCCGTCCAAACTGACAGAACTGGGCGAGGAGCACTCCAACTTCCGGTGGTGGCTCAAATCCTCCGGTTCGCGTTTCACAAGTTGGAAGTTCTGGGCAGAGGCGGCGGCCTGCGGGTACCCGACGTGTTGGTTAATAAATAAACCTTGCCAGTCTTGCGAACTCAACTGGGGAGGGGTCGGCAGTTCTAGCCCCGCCCCACTCACCAGACCATTGGTCGCTTTCAGTTGCGACGTTAAGATGCCTCCGGCCTGGGAACTTGCCCTGCAACAAATTATGTCATGTTAGACCACGCTAGTGGGGATGGAATAGCTTCAGACAACCCGGACGGGACGTGCGTAGAACGCACCTTACACATAACGTAACGTAACGCATACGACCACTAATTACGACCGCTAGAACGCGAACCCATTCATTTCGTTCATTCATTACGATAGAGCGAAACAATTACGCGCCACTGCACCTTTTTACAAACAACGCGCATTGCAACTCAACAATTTCATTCAATTAGCAAAACAATCATAAACCGAAATTAATTAAAACAACTCGTTTAATTATATTCAGAAATTCTTTAAAACAACTACTACCTACAATAAACAAGATCAAGTCTACTACTACTACTCTTACATTTTATAGTTTATAAATAAGCCCAATATTTGAACATCACTAATGAGCTTTTTTTTATTTTTTTAAGAGTCTTAAACTTAGAGAATCAAAGGGTTCAGGGGCGTAGCTAAGAATTTGTGGGTTCACCCGCAGGCCCCCCTTTCACCAATTTTCCGTAACATATTGAAATGCGAGAATCAAAACTAACATTACACAAATTAAGGAATCAGTCACAAAATTCAGGTATAAGAAGAAATCAATGTAAAAGTTTATGTCAAATCACAAATTGTTCTAAAGTGATGTTGATCCTAATATGAGAAAAAATACCTTTGTTAGTAGCGTTTTAATTTTTTTTAATTAAAAAAATATTTTTTTACTTCTCATGGATCAAGGTAACTTTAATCTATTCTTAAAAACCTAAAAAAAATGTAATATAAGCAAGCATTATTTGAAGACAGAGATCTCACAGCGAGACGTAAATACCCTTACCTATAATAAATATGTCGAAACCCAACACCACCACAATGTATTGAGAAGAGAATTGTTTAGGATAGTTTTATGAGGATTAAGCTCGGTATCAAGCCATTTGGGGTTTACCAGAAAGTGATGATACTCATAAAGTAATTAACTCTGCTTCGAAATATTTCTAGATTTACTAAAGCACACACTTTATGGCAAGGTTGTAAACCTAATGAAGGATACAAAGAAGCAAAATGTTTAGAAATCAAACATCAGCAATGCGTCTTGTTGGAGATTGGAGTAAAAATACAAAAATATTTTCAAACAAAAGTAACTTCTGTTAAAATTTGAGTGTATCAAAATTTGTGAGGCAGTTGCGACCCAATTAAACAAAAAAAATTACAATTACTTTTACCGTTGCAATTATTATGAATTACTTTTGTTGGTAAATGATTTATTACAATAATTACAGTTACTTGTCAATAACAAAAATTTTTCAATTAGGTACAAATTCTGTATAATCAACAGTTAGGGCGAGTTGCATGCTTTTTATTTTTACGTGGAGAGTGGAGTTAGGGAAATAGTTTCTAAGAGACTTATAAATTTAAAAAAAGATGTCGAAAACTGCATTTATCATGTCTTTGGTCAACATAAAAATTGTGCTGCTTACTTCTGCAAAGAGCCCACAAGTGGCTTAAAAGCAATGTTAAAAGCAGAAGAACGTGCCAGGCAATGATGTTGTAAAGTAAACAAAGACACCCGCCTACTCATAAACGGCTGAAAGTTGAAAAAAATATACATTCATTGCCTCTCGATAATTAATAAGATTTCAAGGAACTGTTGAAAGAGCATGTGGCTGTTGTTGAGTTGCAAAGTTTTTAAACAGATTTTTCTGCTTACGACAATTATGTTTTAACTATGTTTTAATAATGTTTTGTAAAAACTAAGTTGTTTTTTTTAATAGATGTCAGCCAAACAATTTAATTGCTTATACAAGTTTTAAGTCCTAGCAGGATTTTACGACATTACCAAAAAGTACAAAGAATTTTAAATAACATGCGAAGTATAAAAAAGTTCGGAGTAAAGTAACACCAGAAAAAAAATTGTGAAACTGTATCCAAAAATAGAGGTTAATGCTTGTTTACAGAACACTTAATTGTAATCAAATTTTTAATTCGTGATTAATTTGACTCGTTGATAATAACAAGTTAATTCAAATTTTCCTTTTCTAAATTTGCTCCAAAAGCGAAAAGTTCTAACTGTGAGATAATGAAACGTTTAAAATACTTTTGATAATCCTAGACTTTACAAGAAAATATTAGAAAAAAAACGACTCACGAAAAGTTAAAATTAGTTTAAAATAATTATGTAACGGTGTAAAATCGAAACATTAGTCTAGTCTGTCGGAGTTTTAGAGAATTTAACATCATGAATTTATTAAAAAAGTAAGTGTTTTTAAGAGAAACCGTTTACTAATAAGTAAGTAATAATAATTCACATTTACGATATTTGTTCAGGTTTAGGTGAAATAGAATTTTTCTTTTTATGAAAATTGCTCGTATTTGGACTTGATTTTATATAAAATTGAAAAAAAATAACAGAATAACCAACAAATTCTGAGTTTAATTATCTTTAAACGTTTCTTGTTTTGGTAAAGAATTTGATTTGAAATCATCTTTAGTGCTAAGAATTTGGTGAATTTTTGGTGAATAATTCTTATATTTTTTTAAATGTTATTTGCCTTAATTTCAGTCCTGTTAAATTTTGACTGGGAGTAGAAGAGATTTAGGTGTAAGTGGCGTTTGGTTGGGGAGATTTTTGGGTTTGGGATTCATCGAAATAACGTCTGTTATCCGTCTTATAAATCTAAATAATTCAAGCGGCATGATGAAGCAAATCCGTATTTCCCAAAGGGGTGTTTATTTCCGGAGGCAGAGTCTTCGGCTTTGCACTACAATATCGTACATACCCATGTATTTATAATCCGGGCTCATTAAAATGCTTATCTCTGATCTGCATTGTAACGTGATACTGATAGTATCAGGTTGAAACCCTCGGCTTTGACAAATTATATTAAAGGTTCTGTTTGGGTTGAGGTAGTTTCAACGTTTGAACTTGTCGATTTGAAGATTTATGCTCCGAATGTGAAATTCATTAAGGCCATTAAGGGTTACGTCTTTATTTATGTATGGAGTCGTAAAACGAAAACAACGGTTCACTGGCGTGCAAATATAAATTGAAAGCGTGTTTTATTCGAACGCAACAGTAATAAAACGTCGATATAAAATATCCTCGGCTCGCATTTCAGCAGCACCCCTTCGTATATTATCCTAAGGATGTTCAACGATATGAATAAGAATAGTCCCGAGCACAATGCCGCTAAATTTGTATAAGAAATCGCGTCTAAGGGGTTCGCCGGCACAATAACGCGGGATGAGTGATGACATCGCTCTCGCCTTGAGCGCGTTTCGATTGTTTCGGTCCCATGGAAGCCGCGCTGCTGCTATTGCTGCTGCTGTTTCGGACCACCTGTAGATTTCGAACGCTTTCCGCAATTGGGAAAAGCAAGACCAGTCGCGGTCGCGCTCCCAGACACCGGGAGGTGTTAACCGGTAGGAACTATTTGGTCGACTTATTGCAATTATCTGGCGTTAGAATCTGGAATCTAACCAAAGACTGGTTCCGAGCTAATCGTGATCAGCGCGACCTGCACCCGGTCACCTTCACAATGCCGCGTCCACACGCCGAATGCGCAGACACGTGACTACTTAGAGGTTAGGTTCCACCTAACGATAATGTAAACAATATGCACTTTACCCATTCTGCCCCAATTCCGCCAACACTAAAATTCATTACACCAAATTTTACCGTCTTTTTGTTGTTTTATTAAGTATTATATCGACTCTCCCAACGAAAACTATAGTAACTCAAAATTTACAGTTAAAAAAAATGCATTGAATCTTTAATTGTTAATAAAAATATCAGGGAATTGTTTAATATTATTATATTATTATAATATTATATTATTATTTATATTATAAATACAGGGTGCGCCAGAACTCGCGCCCCAGAGAAAAATGCCATGTAAGGTAAGATACCAGGAACATGTAAAAAATGTTAAAAAAAATCTATCTATAAAAATGTCGAAGTTGTGAGAGTTTAAATTTTGCACTTTGACTATTTATTTCTGTTGGAAAAATAATTTTCCAAGTTTTTTCGCTACAGGCTATTAGAAGAGGAAACAAGAAAGCTGTATCCTGAATTGTAGCTCTCTTTAATGTTATTTGTGGCTTTTATTGGCAAAATTTTTGTAGCTTTACTAAATAATTATTAAAAAACAAATACAAGATCATCAGTACCATTAAATAGACATAAAAAATGTCAAATGTCAAAATTTTTTGACAGAATTTTTTTTAACATTTTTTCCATGTATCCTATCTTACTTGAAATTTTTCTCTGTGGCGCGAGTTCTGGCGCAACCTGTATATATTTATAATATATTTTTATATAAATATTATATTAATATTTATATTATATAATATTTCATATATAATACAATAATATTATTATATATTATTGAAAATTACTGAGGGTTTAAGTTTTGGTAATAATATTGTCTATTCAAAAAAAAGTTTTCTCATTGTTTTTGTATTTTGGGCCCTACATAAGCCATCGTAACTCAAAACCAATTTTTATGAGTTACTACAGTTTTCGTTGGGAGAGTCGATATGTTTCTTGTTTGATTTGCAAAGTGAAGATTTCAACAGTAGCTAAAGCTAGAAACTTATATTTTTTTTATTAATGCAATTTTTTTTAAATTAGCGCTAAAAAAATAAATCATAACTCGATTTTTTTAAATATTGCAATTTTAGTCAACTTAATTCGGTGAATATTGCAATTTAGACATTTTTGAGATTATTTTTTTTACAATAACTTTTATTTCTTCAGTAATGACTTAATGAGTGCATCAGTCTTTCTTCAGTCAATTTCAATTACATTTCAAAATTATGTTTAGTCGCTTTATTCAACATTGAAATCTCAACACAATTTTTGATTTTAATGTTGTTTACGACGAAATATTCCGCAATTTTTCAATTACCTAATAATTAAAACAAATCAGAAGGCCCTTAAAAAACTTTGTAACAAATTATGTCTTTTTTGTCTTTGTATGCAGTATGTATTGCAGCATTTTCCATTGTATTTGTTAAAATCTCACTTCTTTTTTCATACATCAAAATACATGTGTACTTTTATTTTGTTTGTTCCTACAGGTATGTATAGCATTACGTTGTATCAATACATAGAAAAAATCTACAAGTTATCTAAAAACTTCAACACTAGCAAAAAATATTTTGGTGCTGCAAAATATTTCTGTTTCCTTGCCTGTGTAGTTTGTTAAAGTTTTGTTTAGAGTCTTGAACGTTGGTGAAGACAGAAACAAGCATCAAGTTTTAGTTGTTGATTTTTTTTTAGAATCTGTAGTACATGCCTGTAATGTCTCGTGTTGTTATGGTAATATAATTTTAACGTTTTTGAGTGAGGGTGTAGTTGGTTTTGGTGAGAAAGGTCGAAATTCGCCACCCACACCCGTCATGAATAATTTAATAGAGGAAAAAGTTTAAAATCCGGCCTGAGATGAAAGCATTCCAGTAGAGTCGAAATAAAAATGGTCTCGAATTAAAAGCGTCTCGGTTGAAATTTATAGCAGTAGTCTGCATTATTGCACTATATATTACACGACACAATAGGATTAAAGTAAAAAATGTCCTGAATAGCGCCTGTTTGCTATCCCAGACGGTTTGCATAATTTGTTGCGATTTATTTGTGATTTGGTCGGACGTTGCGATTTAATTTAAATAAGTAAATACAGTGATTGAAAGTGCGTGATTTTGAAGTGTTAGAGATTAGAGCGCCTTGGGGCCCAGCAATTTATCGAGATAAGTAGAGTCGTGCCGGTATCCGAGTCATTAACCCATCACGCCCTGCCTGCCTTCCGATTTTCTCGCCCCATTTGCTCTCGCATCGCAACCCCCATTGACATCCGCATCCGCATCCTCACTTACGGCCAAATATCTGCCAGTTTGTCTTTGGATTCTCCGGAAATCGGCTGAAATTTGTAATATTCGTAAATCAGCCCCATCGCCGTGGACTGGTCTTCGGCGCCGCCGCTGATGTTCAACATGGCGGTTGTGGCGGCTGTCAACGGGTGCTGGTCCTCAGGAGGCGCCGCCCCCTCGGGCAACTCTGCCATACCCCGTTGAACAACTACGGGTAACTCTCCGCCACTGCTAGATTGATGAAGCGAATTGCCGTCAGACTCTAAATTATCTCTCCGTTTCCTGGAACAAAATCCACTGCCAAATACTGCTCGCACAGGATTACGTGGCGAGGAAGGGTCACCTGACCCCTACCCGCCCCGAACACATAGGTACAACGCGAGCAACCAAATTGACAAACATTACTCTGATTACAACCAGTGACACAATCATTTCACCTCAACCACCTCATCCAATTTTTATTTCAATTTCAAAAAATCCAAAAAAATACCTCTGAAATTATTTACTGTTCATGCTATTTATTTAGATATTTTCTGCAGCACTTAACATTTTACAGTTCGTTAAATAATAATAAAAAATGATACAAGTTACGCGTTTTACTCAACGTTGATATCTCCACACAATTTTCGATTTTACGAATGTTTTTTTCTTTGTACTGAAAACTACCGAATATTGCTTGTGTTCCTCATATCACCAGAATTAATTGGTCATCTTAAGGAAAAAGGTCTATTTTCATTATTATTATTATTCAATAATTAAATTTGAAATATAAAGAAAAACTAAAAAAAATAAAAAATATTCTATATTTTAAATTAATGTGAGACCCAAACGCCAGATTAAAACTTGTTTTTTTATTATTATATGTAACTGTAGAAGAAAAACTAAAATTGCTTTACCCACCGTTGAAAGATTTCACTACCAATTCTGCAGTTTTTGACAAATTTCACATACCTAAGCATTTTTTATAGTTTTATTAAGAATTTTATCTCCTTTAATGCGCTTGTATTTTTTTTATTTGGTATGTGTTTCTCAATGTAGTATTTCAAATTAGTTTGGAGACCCAAACGGTGGATCAAGACAGAAACTTTATTTTATTTTGCACTTTGTTTGGCTCTGAAATAATGAGCAGGTATTGTAAAACTGTATAACTGTAGCATTTGCAAATATTTACGAGTTGTTTTTGAAACGCCAAGCATTTACAAAGTTCTTATGTCAATTGAATTATAGTTAAGAAAAGCAATAGTAGTAGCAACTAGCAACCTTGGTGCCGTAAAGAAAAGTAAAATATGATTTTTAAAATTAAGTTAGTGGTTATGTTGTAGTAGTATGGAAATGGTGCGCGTGTGTGCTGATATAGCAAAAAAGCGAGTGTAAAACAAGATATTATACGAGTTAGAAGCAGTTAAACTCGTTTATGTTTCATTCACACTGCGTACTTATGATACTCATATAATTATATTGTACAAAATATATAATTAGAGGTTAAACAGTGGCATTTGCACGGTCTAGCACGTGTAAGAGTTTTATAAAAATTGCGCTGCTACTGGTGGCTGGATTTATGATGGAGTAACCATCATAGTAGTGGTAGGTAGCAAAAAGGGTGAGGACCTCTGGGAAATTAATTAAGAGCAATCTATCAATGTCGTCCTTTTAGTTCCACATAATATTAAGTACACAATTCATTATAAGATTTCACATCGCATTTTGAACAGGTAATTGATCGTTGATGATAATTTTGCAGCAAATGTCAATATCATGACCAAATTCCGCGGTTATAAAAAGCTAATTTTAATGTTATTATATAACTGAACCTTTGACTAATGAATTATAAATAAAGTTTTTGTCGAGATAACGTAGAACATAACCTAGTTTTCTCTATAGATCATAAATTCGGACAGATATAGATCAAGTTTTTTAATTGAGGATATAGAAAAGTAGCCATAGATAAAATTAAAATTCATTAACGGAAAAAATCACTCGTGATATTTCTAATCCGTTTAGCATTTAAATTCGAGAGTTCGGTCTAATTAAGGTAATTAAAATTTCTTGGGTTGGTTTAAGTTTAGTCCGGGTTAGAGGTTGGGGCGGATGCACGTAACCAGATAATTTGTGGTTACACACCTAAACCGTATTCAAATCTGGTGTGGTTCTAAGAATATTAATTTGGGCATTGATTAAAATCGGCTCGGTTGACATTTAAAGCGATTATATACTAGATAACTATATTCTATATAGACAGTGTTGATATATTCGCGAAAGTTGTTTTAAAATGACGAATAACCATCTAAGTGCCACGAAGAAAAAATCCGACCACACCCTTTTAATTAATGTCAAAGATTTCAATGGTTGTCATACCGATAGTGGATAAAACAAGGAAAGAATATCGAACTGTAAATAACGATTTTGTGAAATTGTCGTATTTTCTCTGACTTTTCTTGGATCACTTTCAAATCGATTTATTTATGCGTTTGTTGCGCACTTTCCACTTGACTTGATACAGATATAAAAACTCCATCTTACGCCCACCAAACTCATAAATCACGACAATTCTTTTTTACATCACTTTACTCAAATGCCAATATTAAATTTCAGAAAATTTACGAGACCAAATTTACCAAACATAAATCAACATTATCTCTATTTCACGTCTCAAATATATTGCAAGAATGTTACTTATTAATTAAGCTCATGTCTCAGGTGTTACAATTCCAGGATATGTTGATATTGGAAATTACTTTAGAAAGGAAAATCTCATACCAGCCAGATGCACACAGGCTTGGTTTTTATTGCCACAAAATTTCGACTCAAAAATTTCATTCCAAACCACACTTTCATTATTGTCTTGGAAACTTTAAAGTGAGGTCAAGACACCAAATCGATTAAACCAAAATCAATTAAAACTGTCATCTACATAATTATGCAATCTGGTTTTTTAACGCATCAATTTGAATAATCAATAGTGCTGCCGAAATGTTAAAAAGTGCCACCTTTTAATGACAAGTCACGGGGTGGTAATAAATAATAGTTTTTCCTTGAATTTCGTTAATTAAAACAAATCTGTTTATGCAACGATTAAAAATAGTTAATTCTAGTAATCGAATTTTTAGAGGAAACCGATCTATTACACTTAATTACATATGTAGGAATTTATGTAGAACTCTGAGGAATAAATTAAAATATTTTAATGTTCTATGAGTTAAACTGTACAGAGAGAACTATTTATCACGCTAATTATTCGAATACAAATTAATGGCCATATCTAGCATGGTAATTTTTGCTACCAGAACCACAATAAGCATGATTTGTTACAATCCTGTGATTTATGAGGAAAACTGATCACAACTAGTCGTACATTTTTAATAGAGAAAGTATGGAAGGAAGCATTTCAGAAAATGTATAATTTTAATTTCAAGTACAAATAAGTGCGGCCTTTCAGGGATTAGAAAGTGTGATCCTCGCTGAAATCGAGGAAGTGTTTTTCTTAATTACTAAACAATGCTGTGTGCATTATGATCGGAGATGCGACCTTAACGCGAAGTCAGTGACATTTGACCGCGACGATAATTCACAAAAATTATTTATTAACATTAGTGCCAAGATTATTATTTATTACTTTGAAGTCACATTGGAAACACGTAAAATAATTGCAAAATTAAAATTCAAATTGATTCAGAAATGTGTTTTATATCTCGAAAGCGTATCGCATTAGCCGGACCGAAATTTGCATGTTTAAAGCTTCAGACAATAAATACAGCGAGTTGACAGGTCCTAATGGTCTAGAAAAGATGGTAAAAACCCCATCCCTGCATTTTCTAAACTCCCAGGTAGATAACTTATTGTTATGCAACGCATAAAGCGTAGGAGTGGAGTGCACCACCAGGAATTTAATAATATCGTTTGATAAATGTGAATATTTTGGTCACACAGCTTTAGTGCGTTTAAATAAGCCATAGGTCAATATAAAACAGACATAAACTGAGACATGCTTGGAATATTTCCGACCAAATTCACTATACCTGGCTGTCATTAAGCCATCAAAAAGGCTATAAAGTGATATCGATATGCGTGTATAATGTGATTGATATATTGGGGTCTCGGCTAAATACGCTGCAGCATCAAACTCTCTTACCTGCTTTGCACAAATACAATAGTTTCATGCGTGCACACCTTTATATATACACAGACACATATACCAACATCTCGCCAAAAAACAACCCTTTGTTACGTACAATACTCATCACGTCTTTTGTGCTCATTTCATCTTGTTGAACACTTTAGAAAAACCACCCGACCATGTAACTTTAACCTCGACTTTTTCGCCCTTAATTCTTGATGCAAAAATTTGAAAATTTTACATATTTTATGTCCCAAAACGAATTCATTATAAAGATGTTAGACAATTGCGACCGGTTTTACGAGTCCTTAAAGACAAGATAATGCAACCCTAAAGTCCGGGAGTAAAAAGAAACCGGTATTTTGCGTTTCTGTGACTAAAAATTTCCAAAATTGATTTTCTATACTTGTCATATTTTCAGAAATTAGCATTTTTAACTGTTACTCCAATTAGTGCAATTGTTGGTGTTTATAAATAAATAAAAAAAGTAATTGTTGATAATTAATAATAAGTAATAATTTAACATAATAATCGCACTAGTGGTGTCATGTTTTGTTCAACAGACTGTGTAAATAAATATGTGGGAAAGTGCGTATTATATAAAAGTTGTTCCATTCATTCAACTTTATTGTTAAATAAACGACTATTACTACAAGCTGTCATTCAATTCAAAATTCATCAATGGCTATTGTTATCCAAAATTTTGTTTTTTCGGCCACAAAGTATTTTTTTTAATTGATTTGATTATATCAAAGCGGACCTCAACACGTCATTAAGGCTGGGCAAAACTGTTGATTAGTAGATTAATAGATCAAGGTTAAATCTAGGAAGAAACAATACCAAACAATAAGATATGAAATTGGTTGTCAATTTCAAAGTTCGGTGGGAGATTTCGCTTCGTATTTCATTTCTTTCAATGGTTACAAACCCCAAATTTATTCAGTAGCAGAAGATAGAGGCCCTGTCAAGTCACACAATAGAATATGTACTTAACATACAGGTAGTTCAGTATGTAAAAAAATTCGTAAGCACCTTCTTTACGAACATGAGTTTTGATTTATTTGTTTCCGTTAGGAAAAAGTTTTTCAGTGTTCCGTTAAAAATCGGTTTCTCTGTGGGAGATAACAAGTATATTTTGATTAAGTCTTGTATTCCGAGACACAAAAAA